GAGTAGCCCCCGTCGGCCAAGAACCACAGGGAGAAGCTGAGGGGGACTTCCAGTGCCCCCAGCATTGTTCTGACTCATCCCCCACAATGCCCTCCATGCAGGGGTTCGACAGGGGAATGGAGGAGACAACAGAAAACATCCCTAAGTCTGAAGCTAAGAGGACAGAACTTAGCCAACCTGAAAATAGAGATTGTCACACTGTAGCACTGTCGCCCCATTGTTCATCAATTTGCTCAAGTGGGCACCAGTAACATCTCCATTGTGAGACTTGTTGTTACTGGTTTTTGGCATATTGAATATGCCATGAGGAGCTTGCCAGGTTCTGCCGTGCGGGCGGGATGCTCTCGGTAGCTTGCCGGGCTCTCCGAGAGGGATGGAGGAATCGAACCCGGGTCGGCCACGTTCAAGGCAAACGCCCTACCTGCTTTTTTTCAAAATGAAGGGAGCATGAAGGAGTATAATGAAAAAAAACTAAATATTGAACTGAGGTCTGACTAAATAGGGGGTTAAAAAAGTGCTCAAAAAAAAAAAAACCTGGTTGAAAACTTGTCAAATCTTGTAGAAGACATAAACCTACAGAGCTAAGAAGCTGGGGAAATCTTCAGCTTAGATGAATTCAAAGAAAGTTACACCCTTAAGCCATTAAGACTCTGGAAAACTAAAGTTTAAGGAAAGAGTGTTGAAAGCAATGGGACTTTTTTGTTTTTGTTTTTGCTTTTTGGGTCACACCTGGTGATGCACAGGGGTTACTCCTGGCTCTGCACTCAAGGAATTACTCCTGGTGGTGCTCAGGGGACCCTATGGGATGCTGGGAATCGAACCCAGGTGGGCCGCATGCAAGGCAAATGCCCTACCCGCTATGCTATCGCTCCAGCCCCAGCGATGAGATTTTTTTAAAGATCAACAATACATGAATTGAGAGAAGAATGATTGAAATGAGAGTGGATTTTGCATCAGAAACCATGAAATCTAGAAGGAAGGGAGCATGTAATGACAATGTGATCTCAGAGACTACAGCCAGCAAAACTATCCTACAAGAAAAGAAAGGGGAAATGAGGACTTTCATACATGGAGGAAGATAAAGAACATTTATTGCCAACAAATATGCCCCTAAAGAGTGGCTAAAAGAAATTCTCCAAAGAGAAAGACCCATTTTATTTTTTATTTTATTTATTTTAATTCATTCTGAGCCTTGAGAGTTTTAAAAGAAAAAATTCTAGAACATCAGGAAGGAAATTTTTCCTTTTCCTCTTGAGTTTCCTAAATTTATGTTTGATAGCTGAAGCAAATACTATAATGATTTGATGTAGTCCTAAAAGCATACAGAGAAAATATTTAAGGTGATTATTAATAGAGGAAGTAAAAGGACATACATTGAAATAGCATTATCATGGAAATTAATGTAGAAAAGATTTGACAAAATTCAACATTCACTCATGATTTGGAAAAATCACCCTCAGAAAATGAAGAATAAAAGGGACCTTTCTCAACTTAATAAAGTGTGTGACAGGCAACCTTGTATTTAATGGTAAAAGACTGTGTCCTCTGAGATTGAGAATACCATTCTCATCCAACACAGTCCTAGAAACTCTTGCTAGGGCAATAAGGAATGAAAAGGAAAATAAAAGGCACAAGAATGGAGGGGGAAATACACATTTTTTTCTATATGTATCTGAAGATAGCATAGAGATGGTCTGGAAAAATTCAAGGTTACTATAGAAAAATAAAGCCTATACTGAATAAAGTATTCTATATTATAGTGTCAGAATACAAGATAAAAATAAGAGAGAGATGCTAGGTGAAAAGGAAGCTCAGATAGAGAAGAGAGCACCAAATAAAGGGTGTTGTGAGGACCCTCCCAGGGTGGGAGAAGCATGCTAAAAGTAGTCTATAGACCAAACATGATTGCCACTCAATGCCTCTCTTGCAAAACGCAGTACCCAAAAGAAGAGAGAGAGAACAAGGGGGAATGCCCTGCCACAGAGGCAGGGTGGGACAGGGGGGTGGGGGGTGGGAGGGATGCTAGGACCCGTGGTAGTGGAGGATGGGCACTGGTGGAGGGATGGGCACTTGATCATTATATAACTGAAACCCAAGCACAACAATTTATAAGTCTATAACTGTACCTCATGGTGTTTCACTAATAAAAATATTTTAAAAAAATAAGAGAGAGAGAAAGAGAGAGAGAGAAAGAAAGAGGTGGGTCAATGAGCTGGACTCTATGCTTTGCATGCAGAAGGGCTGAGTTTGTTCTCAGGCACCTCTTAGTCGCCAAACACCACTGGGATCAACCCCCAAGCACTGAGCCCTTTTGGGCTTGGTAGGACCCAGAAAGAAAACACAAAGTCCCCCCAAATCAATTTTATTTGTATTAATAAACAATGAACATTTGGGGAACAAAATGAAAAATTCAATACCATTGGCACATTAAAAAAATTAAACACTGGGGCTGGAGCAATAGCACAGCGGATAGGGCGTTTGCCTTGCACGCAGCCAACATGACCGACACAGGTTCGATTCCCAGCATCCCATATGGTCCCCTGAGCATCGCCAGGAGCAATTCCTGAGTGCATGAGCCAGGAGTAACCCCTGAGCACCGCTAGGTGTGACCCAAAAAGCAAAAAAAAAAAAAAATTAAACACTCCGGCATAAATCTAACAAAGTATTTATAGGATCACCAAGGACCATGACTTGCCAATGGAAGAAATCGAAGAACGGAATGACTCTAGTGAGATAGACTATGCTCATGGTGAAGACGGAGGTTCTCTTCATGTTGATACACGGGTTTAATGCAATTCCTACCAAAATCTCAGCAACATTTCTTTAGGCTTTGATCATGTTTTTCACATACTTATAAGGACGTGTGAGAGAACTAGAACAACTAAAACAATTGGTGAGGAAGAATACAGAGAGAGGAATCAGACCACCCAATTCCAGCCTTCTCGTCTGCCCACGTGGCAAAGACGGGGCCACAGATGCACAGATCAGTGAGACAGAGCAGAGAACTCAGAAATACGCCCGCCCAAAGATGCCCAACTGAGATCTCACCACGTTGCAAAGTCATTCAGTGAGGGGAAATAGCCTTTTCAACTGGTCTTGGCACTATCGGACATTCATAGAGGAAAAAAATAAATCTCTTTTTTTTTCTTTTTTGGGTCACATCGGCAACGCTCAAGAATTACTGCTGGTCTGCACTCAGGAGTTACTCCTGGTAGTGCTCCGGGGACCATATAGGATTCTGGGGATAGAATCTGGGTCGGCCGTGTGCAAGGCAAACGCCCTCCCCGCTGTGCTATCGCTCCAGTCCCAGAAAAAAATTAATCTTGGTGCTGAAGAAATAAGACTGTGGGTCAGACCCTAGCTTTGCACACAGCCAACCCAGGTTCAATCCCTGGCATTGTATGTGGTCCTCCGAGCTCCACCAGAAATGATCCCTGAGCACAGAGTTAGGAATAAGCATGAAGCACAGCTGGGTGTGGCCCCACTTCCTCATCCCCACCCTCAAATCCAGTCTCAAATGAAAAAATAGGAGAAAATCTTTGGGAACCTGGAATTAGGCATCCTGGACTTGGCACTACAAGCAAAGCTTAACTTAAAAACAAGTGATGGGCGGGAGGAGGCGGGGGAGGTGCAAGAGAATCACAGGGTGCGAGGAGGGCTGGGGGCAACTGAACAGTGTGTGACCGAGGGGACAGCAGCCCCTTGTCCCAGCAGCGCCTGCCACGGTCCGACGTTGAGTCTACTGTCGCACGCTGGTTCCTGAACCCGACTGATGTGGCCAGAGGGAGGTGACACGCACCGGCAATGGTGGGACTGAGACCAGCCCCCACACAAGCCACCTGGTCTGAAGGAGGAGTGTGTGTGTAGGGGGGAGGGGATACTTAACAGACTAGATGCTGGTTGGACAAAGCCAGCCCACATCTTCATTCTCCATCACTGGTCAGCTGCATTGCCATTACAGAAGGCATCTCAGCCTTGGACCAGCTCTGGTCACATACTCAGTCCTCATCCAATCACCAGCACAGAGGGATGGGGGCCCTCAGGTGGACAGGGCTGGAGGGGGTCAGGAAGGAGGATGGAAGCCCACAGTACAGCAGCGAATCCAAGTACTGCAAGAGCCGCGTCAGCCCTGTCACGAAATAGCAGGGGCACAGGCCTGGGTCTGGCCACGGGACCCGGCTGGACAAAGGCGGGGTTGTTCTCAGGTATACCCTGCTTCCCCTTCTAGCCGCCCTGAGGCCGAGGGTGCTGTGAGCCCCCTGGGGGGCGGGTAGGAGGTGAGGTCAGTGCACTGAGGCAGGGAGCAGGGGCCGGAACCAGATTGGGTGTGACCGGATTCAGGTGGGCACCCCACTTCCGGCCCCAGGGCTCCACATAGTCCCGGGCCGAGGAACTGGGCAGGTGCGTTCCTCGATGGAGTCAGGACAGAATCTGCACTCTTGGGTGGCCCCCTGGGGTTGCAACCCGGGCACCCCCCCCAGATGGAGTAAGTAAGCATGGACGGGCAGAGAGGGGCCCTCAGAGATGGGGAGAGGAGAGCGGGTGACGCTGGCCACGGTCACTGGGCACAGGGGCTGGGTGTAGGGACCGGGCGGCAGGAGAAAGCTGTGTTGTCCAGGCCACACTTGGGAAAAGGTCATTGAGTCTCCTGGAAAACCAGCTTCAGGGGTCTGACCACCAACGACTCCATCCTCAGCTCCTACCCTCATGGCCCCCACCCCCATTCCAGCCCCCCAAACATCCCACCGCTGGGGGACGCTGCCTACTGCATGCTTCTCCCTGCCTTCGCTCATGCTCCACTTGCTCCAGGATGTTTTCCATCTGAGGCTGAATCGCCGAGGCCAGCCCCTTGCTGGCCGCCCGCTCTCACCTTGCTGCCCAGGGCTGCACTCCAGTAGGTCCCTCCCGGCTCTGGAGGGCAGTTGAGGGGCCAGGTCTGTCCTGGGGCTGTGGCCCGGCCCTGCCCTCGGTCACCGTGGCCCTGTCTCCTCTCCTGGCAGCCTGGCGTGGGGGTCCTTTACCTGCTGCATGGCGGCCTCGGTCACCACGCTCAACTCCTACACCAAGACGGTCATTGAGTTCCGGCACAAGCGCAAGGTCTACGAGCAGGGCTACCGGGAGGAGCCGACCTTCAGGGACCCCGAGGCCATCAAGTACTTCCGGGAGAGGTCAGTGAACTTACCCCAGTCCCAGCGCCAATGCCGGAGTGAGGGGTCTTGCGGAAGTGTCTCTGGGGGTGAGGGGTGGCGGGGGCAGGCAGGGCGGAGCTGAAGCTGGGTCCCACCCTATTGACGTTTCCAGGATATTTGAGTGTTTCACAGGATATGAGCGGGGCTTGTGTGATCAGAGCCTGAGTGACCAAGTAGGGAACTGGATGTGGCCCTCTGACCCCGTTTCTGAGCACCCAGAGTCTGGCCCCAGGCTTCCTTCTTGGATTCTGTCCCTGCTTGACTGGAAAGGGCCCCGAGTAGGACTATTTAGGGCTCCTTAAGGTCAGTGGCTTCATCAGACTACAGGGTCCCTGTGGCCCAGCTGGGAGTCAGGTAGGTAACAGAGACCAGTGGGTGTGAATATGTAGGTTGGGTGCAAGGGAGCCTGGCAGGGTGGATGGATGGGTGGGTGAGTGGGTGGGTAGGTGAATGGGGAGCTATGTGGACAGAGAACTGGGTGGATAGATGGATAAATGTGATGGTGGAAAGATGGATAGGTGACTGGGTGGATGGATGTATGCGTAGATGAATGGATAACTGGATGGGTGGAAAGGTGAATAGTTGGATGGGTGGATAAAGGGATGAATGGCTGGCTGGCTGGATAGATGGATGGATGAATGGATGGATGAAAAGGTTGGTAGATAATTGGGTGACTGGGTAGCTGGATGTATAGACAGATGGATGGGTGAATGGATTGATGGGTTAATGTATAGATGGATGGATGGATGGATGGATGGATGGATGGATGGATGGATAGATGGATGGATGGAAGGATGGATGGATAGAAGGAAGGAAGGATGGATGGATGGATGGATGGATGGAAGGAAGGAAGGATGGATGGATGGATGGATGGATGGGTGGATGCCTGGATAGATGGTTGGATGGATGGATGATGCATGGATTAATGCATGGACACATGGATAGATGGTTGGTTGGATGGGCGGATGGTTGGATGGATGCATGGATGGATAAGTTAAAAAGAGGCACACAGATGAATAACATTTCTGGGACCATTTCCAAAAAAACTGTTCATTGCCAAATCCTTATTGCAGAGTCGGCTTCTGGGGGAACTGACTGAACATACAATAATGGATCTCAGTGGCAGGAAGTTGCCAGGTTCTCAGGGCTTAGGGCTGATGGGAGACCAGAGGAGAGGGGGCAGAAGGCCATGCATGGTCTGGGCAGCACTGAGGAGCTGGCCTCTGCAGAGCCACAAGGTAGGGCCTGGCCTAGCTGCCTGGCCTGTCTGGATTCCTTCTCTCTCCTCTATCATGAAGACCTTCTTCCTGCCCCTTGAGCACTGTCAGCCCATCCCTACCCCAGGTCCTTTGCACTTGCTGTGTCCTGGAATTCTCAGCTGGCTCACTCAGGTCTCCAGCCCCATGCTTGGCGAGGCCTTCCTCAATAATTTGTTCTCAATTCCTGGTCCCTTCTTAGCCCCGTGCTGGTTTTCCGAGCAGCTGCCACCTGTCATTCCTTGTAATCTATTGTCTGTTTGACTCCAAACTCCACCATCGAAGGGCTCCATTGGGAGCTCACTGCCATCCTTGGGGTCCCTGAACCTGACCAGGCTCCCTGGAGGTGCTGGTCAAACTGGGTGCTGGGGGGATTTCCAGGCCTCCCCTCTGGGCTCTCACCCAGCGCCCCATGCTGGAACCCCACCAGGCGTCCAGATGTGGGTCCAGGTGTGGATGGACTGCGGGCAGAGAAGAGCCTGCGAGTGTGGCACACTGGGCTCCTCACCGGGAAGGTAGCCGGCACGGCCTGGGGCCCAGGGTAGCTGCCGCGAGCCAGCCGGCTGACGTCTGCAGCCCCATCAACCCTGTCCCAGCACTAACCTGGCTGTGGGCGTGCGGCTCCTCCGGGCCAGAGGGCGCGGGCTCGTTTCGCTGAGGCAGGTTCCTGTCTGCTCCCCTTCGGCAAGAAGCTGCCTGTGCGGGTGCCCCAGTTTGAGTGGTGCCCGCGCGGGGGAGAAGAGGGAGGTCCCGCCTGTGTGCAGGGTATGGCTTTGCGTGCAGAGCTAGAACGTTCTGCAGACGGCGGCCACATTTCACGGCCTTACTCTCTGAGGAGAGCGTTTCCGCTTAGCTGGGCTGTCCTAATTCAGCGTCCGTGCCTCCCCCACCAAGAGCTCAGACGGCGGGGTGGGTCTCTGCCAGGGGCCAGCCGGCCTGCACTGACCAGCGTCCCCCAAATCCTAGCCTCTCCCTCGGGAGCGGGGGGAGCAGAGGAAAGCGCCGGGGGACCCAGACCTGAGTGAGCCCCCACCAGTCTGCCCTCAGCTACGAGCTCCGCATCCCTCTGAACCCCGGCCGGAGAGCCCAGAGCTCTGTGTGCCCAGGGAGGGTCCACGGGGGCTGATCGGTGTCAGCCCTGGGCACGGTGTCAGATAGGTGACGTGTGTGTGCATGAGGAAGCATGGCAAGAGCATGTGTGCATGTGTGTGAGCCTGTAGGTGAATGTGTGTGTGTGAACATGGGTCTGAGTCTGCAAGTAAGTGGATGGATAGATGTGGGTACGTGGTGTGTGAGTGTGGCAGACAACGCGTGAATGTGTGTGGACCAGTGAGTAAACATGCACATGTGTGTGATGAATGTGTGATTATCTTGTGAATGTGTGTATGTCTGTGTGTGTGCGTGAGTGTATGTGTGTATTATGTGATTGTGCATCTGTTAATGTGTGTGTACACACGTGTATATGTATGTACATGTGTGAACACATGAATTTTGTACATGTGTGTACATGTGTGAGTGCATGCATGCACATATGTATGTCTGTGTGAGTGAGCGTGAGAGTGTGCCTGTCTTGAGTGTGCATGAGTGTGGTTGTGTGTGACTGTGTGTGGCTGTGCGTGTGTATAGTTGTGAGTGTGTGACTGTGTGGCTGTATGTGTGTGACTGTATGTGACTGTGTGTTTGACTATGTGTCGCTGCTGTGTTTGTGTGTGTGGCTGCATGTGTGTGACTGTGTGATTATGAGTGTGTGGCTGTGTGGCTGTATGTGGGATGTGTGTGTGAGACTGTGTGACTGTGTGTGTGTGTGTGTGTGTGTGTGTGTGTGTGTGTGTGTGTACTCCTCCCCTTCCTACCTCTGCAGGAGGGAGCTCCAGGTTTGGTGTTTAGCTCTGGATGGAGGAAGCTTCAGAGACGAGGAGTCTGTCTTGACCACACAAACCCTTGCTGGTTCTCCCCTGCACAGACGGTTCTAGAAGCAACTGAGGCAGCACCAGCCCTCAGCAGCCTCTCCTTCCTGTGCTCGGGTGTCCCTTGGTCACTCTGCATCCTCTGTGGGGGAGGGAGGAAGAGGAGGGGATAGGGAGGAGGAGGAGGGGATAGGGAGGAGGAGGAGGGGAAGGGCGGGAGAGGGTCTCACACTGGACTATAGACACAGGCTGAGCTGGGGCTGGGGCAGGTCCTGTGCCAGGACTGAGAGCAGGGGTGGGGTGGGAGGGTCCCGTTGCTCGTCCTCCCGGTGGGCAGCGTTTCAGCGGAGAGGGTGCCGAGAGCGGGGTTCTCTCTGGGGCAGACAGAGCAGCCGGCGCCCAGGCGGGGGAGGGGGCATGTGCTTGGTGTCGAGAGGGCGCTTGGCCACGTGAAACGCCTTCCTGGGGTCCTGACACCTGCTCAGGGGGTTCCACTCACCCTCAACGGGGCGAGAACAAAACCCAGAGGAACAAGGACAGGGGTGACCAGGAGGGCCGGGCACTCTCCTGCCCCTCACGCCTTACTCGGGCGCGTGCCTTAAGCTGTTCGCACCCAGGAATGGGGGCTCTGGAGGCCTCCAGCAGAGCAGCTCTGGGGGAGGGGGGGCTGCAGGCCAGCACAGGCGGGAGCCCAGAGCGGCGGGCCAGCGTCCACCGTGGACCCCGCCGGGCTGGAATCTCACCGCCAGCCTTCGCTGCCCGGACCTCCAGCCTGCCTCTCCTGTGCAGTGTTTGTCATTTTCCAGCACTGCGTTTTAATTGCATCTTATTTAAAGGAGAAGGAGCCCAGGGAATGAAGGCAGAGCCCTGCGTGATCCTTTATCACAGAGAAGCAGGCTTGGGGGGCCCGGCACAGACAGCCGCGCCACAGTGTCGGGACGCGCCGGCTGCCTGGCCTGAACCGCTATGGCTGTTTTTGACCCTGGAAAGAGGGAGGCAGGTCCTGCGGGGGAGGAGCTGGGGGAGGCTCTCGCTCACCCTCAAACACTGAACAGCCCACCCCACCCCTGGGTGGCGGGGGTCGCTGGAGGGGGAGAAGAACCCTGTCCCCTGGCCATTCCCAGGACCATTCTGAGAGCCCTGCCAGTGGGGAGGGGCCTGGTTGAGGGGGCCTGCGTGCCCACCCCGCCCGCTAAGGAACGGTCCTGGTGTCATGGCCCAGAGCTGGGGAGGGGAACACGTGAGGGGGGAGCCGGTTACTCCAGCACTCGCTCCATCTGAGAAGAGTGAGGCTGGGGCCTCCCCCTGCAGGGGTGATGGTCAGGACATTTGCACTCTCTGCAGGGGGCGGAGGGGGGTCCCTGGAAAAGAGCAAAGATGTTTCCACTCAAAGACGAATGGGAAGGTGGCCACCGGCCCTTGACACTGGTGGTGCCCACCCACATGGTCTCTGGTCTCACCCTATATTCACAGGCCACACCGGCTACCTGTGGGCAGGTTAGGGCCGAGTGGGCCCCTGGGCACAGAAGTGGGGGCCGGGGGGATTCTCAGCCACCCACTTCCTGGCGGCGTGCTAGCCTGGCTGCCATGACACAAACAAGCAGGGGCAGAGCCTGAAGGGGACGTTTCTCTATATTGGGGGCCGGGGAGAGGTCACCGCCCGCAGTGCTCAGGGGACATCAGGTGCCCAGCGGGGACAGCTGTGTCCTCTGTGCCCCCTGGGAGGGTTCTGCCGGACGAGCTGTGAACCGGGGGGGGGGGGGGACCCGGACGCTCAGAGTGGCGTGTGACCGCTGGTGACCGAGGCTTGTGCCATGGCCGGCTGCCGTGTCCCCGGGAGGAGGGGTGATGGGAAAGGGGGACCTGGCGGGGTGTCTGCGTGGGCAGGACTGCGCCCTTCTTGCACGCGAGAGCAGGGGGAAAGAGAGGGGGGAGCAGAGAAGGCCCGAGCCCCCACCCCATCTCGGCCTCTCAGGAGGGGGCGTGAACACGGGACCACTTCCCAGGGAGTCAAGTGATGCTTCTGCAAACATGGGCCCAACCCCATGGGCTTTGGGGGTGTCACGTGACGGAGGGCCTATGGGGGTTACTGCCCACCAGGAAAGGGTTGGGGGGGCACTCTGGTCTGGGACCACATTGTGGTCTATGGCTGGTTACCCTCCCACCCGGGTTTCTGGTCCATCCACAGGGCAGCTCCTTCTGAAATGCAGTGGCCCTGCAAAAGCACAGGAAGAAGAGGCACGTGTGTTCCAGAAGCTTCCCTGTCAAAGGGAGGAAGCACATGGCAGAGCAGGAGGTTGGCTGTGGCTCGGGTGCAGGAGGAGTGGCAGGAGAGTCTTTCATTCGCTTGAGAAAAGAGAAGGAGGGGCTGGAGCGACAGCACAGCCGGGAGGGCGTTTGCCTTGCATGCGGCCGACCGGGGTTCGATTCCCAGCATCCCATAGGGTCCCCCCAGCACCACCAGGAGTAATTCCTGACTGCAGACCCAGGAGTAACCTCTGAGCATCGCTGGGTGTGACCCAAAAAGCAAAAAAAAAGTGACAGAGGTCAGAGAGAGCACAGCAGGGAGGGTGCTTGCCTTGTAGAGGGCCAACGGGGAGTGACCCCTGAGCACAGAGCCGGGAGTAACCCCTGAGTGGGGGCCTGACACAGCTGAGGAACCCCGTTACCCCCCCCCAAAGCAGAAAACCAACAGCCTCCAAGAAAGCCTGCGGTGGTGTCCTGGGGGCGTGAGACCGCCCACCTGTGTCTGCGCCTGTTGGTGACCTGGCCTTTCTCGGTTTTGTCTTGGGGCCACGCTCCAGGCTCTGCACTCAGGAATTGCTCCTGGCGGGTGGGGAGCCCATTGGGAAGGTGGGGATCCACCCCAGGTCCACTGCGTGCCAGGCAAGTGCCTCCTGCTATGCTTTCACTCCTTCCTCCGAACTGACCCCTGGACACGCGCTGACAGAACCTGGCCCAGAACTGCCCCCCTGTCGGGCCGCCCAGCTCCCTGGCCCTCCCCGCCTTCCCCCGCTGGCCTCCTGCCGCTTCTCCTCAACAGAGTGGGGGGAACCACGCCCCTGACTCAGGGTGGCCAGGGACCAGGGGGGCCTGGTGCTTTGCAAACTGCCCGCAGCCGGGACGGGCAGCCTCGCCGGCCCACGCCTGCCATGAGCCTGCTCGCTCTCACTCCGGCTTCCGGCTCTTTCCTCTCCAGGATCGAGAAGGGGGATGTGGACGAGGAGGAGGACCTTCGCCTGGACTGTCGCCCAGAGAGATACCCCACCCGTAAGTGACCGTCTCTGCATCCTGACCACCCGCTGGCACCACCCCCACCCTCGCTTGCTCCCAAAGACTCACCCCCACACGACGGGTGGGGAAACTGAGGCTGGGGATGCTGAGAAAGTGTGTGGGGCAGGTGACCAGCGGTCAAAGGGAGAGGAACAGAGGAGGCGAGCGGCCGGAGGGCGGCAGCTCAGACGCGTGGCTTCATAAGCCGCTCTCCTGGGCGGGGGCAGGGGTGGGGGGACGCTGTGAGACAGAATCTGGGGTGCCCACTAGCAAACCGCCAGAGCGCAGAGGCTGCCGGGAGAAGGGCTTCGCTTGACAGGAAGGGACAGATCTCAAGGGACATGTCAAAGGTCAGATCTTGGGGCTGGAGCGATAGCACAGCGGGTAGGGCATTTGCCTTGCATGAGGCCAACCCGGGTTCGATTCCCAGCATCCCATATGGTCCCCTGAGCACCGCCAGGAGTAATTCCTGAGTGTAGAGCAGAGCCAGAGTAACCCCTGTGCATTGCCGGGTGTGATACTAAAAGAAAAAAAGGAAAAAAAAGGTCGCCACATAGTCCCTGTTCCCCACGGAAGGCCCTTTCATGCCTGATGGACACCCCCCTCGCTACCCTAAGAGCCTGGACCTAATCCACATTTTGTGCAGGAGGAAATAAAGAAAGGCTCAGAGAGGTAGCGTGACCGGCCCAAAGTGGCGCAGAAGCACCGGGAGAACAGCCAGGCCAGCCCCCATCCCTGCCTTCCAGGGAGGCCAGATTCCCGAGCACCAGGACTCCCCGTGCAGCTTCCTGGAGCAAAGGGTCAGGAGCAGAACCTCCCCCTCCCCAGGGGCGTAGGGAGCACATGGGGGGCTCCATGTTCCGGCAACTTCCAGAATACTGCGGAAAGCAGCGGGAGCCTGGTGGGCAGGGGAGGCCCCCCCCCCGCCCAGATTGGAAGATGAAAGAATGCAGAGAGGGTCAGTCTCCCCCTGTAAATGCCCTGGAATGGGACATAGTGGGGGTCAGGGGGAACCCAGAGTCAAGCCCAGCCTGGAGACTGCCCATTTCCTTACCCGCCAGCGCTGCGTGGGGGGGAGGGGTTCTGCTCTTCAGGGAGCCAGAAGGTGGGGCCAGCAGGAGACCAGCACGTGGGGAGTCGCCCCAAAAAGTCCTCCAGGCAGTAGACCCGTCCACACAAAGCACCAAAGCAGGGGCGGCAGGGATGGGGTCCTGCATGGCTGGTAGGCGGTGGTCTGAGGGTGGAGGAGACTTGGGGATGATCCCCGAGTGCTCACGGCCTCCTGAGGTGTCTTGTCTGTCCATGGCCTGCCTACAGGCGGAGGGAGCGGTCTAGCCTGGGAGACATGGGGGGTGGGGGCGGAACTCCGCCGGCAGGAGAACCCATGTCTTGGTCGGCTCCCCCAGAAGCTGACCCCAAGACAAGGCTTCTTGGGGGTGGTCGGTTCCAGGGAACACGGGAGGGGGAGGCTCGTGGCCGGCAGAGGTGGATCCTGGGGCCCTGTGGGGGCTCGGGGGAGTGGGCTCAAGTTAGATTCTGCCCTGTGACACAGGACTGGGGGTGTGCGTCTGGGGGGGTGGAGCACAGTGCGGCCCCTCCCTGGGGAGTGGGTGCAGGAGCCCATGGAGGCACACTGGGGGCACCACTGGGGGCTCTGTAGGAAGCTAGAGGGAATGCTGAGACCCCAGGGAGGGTGGGGGTCGGGTGATGTGAGGCAGTGGGGGAGGGGCTGAGGAAAGGCCCCCCCACACCCTCAGCCTGCCTGAGAGCCCCCAAACCCCCCTTACAAGGGCCAAGTCCCGCAGCCCCTCTGCCAGGTGGACCCTGTCCCCTCCCATGGCACTGAGGGAGGGAGCCTGAGGAGGTCACGTCGGGGTCACAGTCCTGAGACCCCGCTCCTGGCCACAGAGCCGTGTCCAGGCACCCCACCTTCCGGCTCAGCAGGGGTTCGGAGTTGCCAAGCTCGCAGGCGCTGGGCGGTGGGTGGGCTGGGCCAAGGCAGTGCTGGGAACGCCCAGACGGTGTGCGGCTTCCGCAAGGAGCCTCGCCCAGATCCCATCCCTTCTGGAACAGCTCCTGATCAGCCCTAGAGGGGCACCATGAACACGACAGTGTGTCTTTGTGTGTGAGTCTGTATGTGTGTCTCTGTGTGTGTCTGTGTATGTGTGTGTCTCTGTGTGTATCTGTGTTCTGGAACAGCTCCTGGTCAGCCGGAGAGGGGCAACCTGAACACAACAGTGTGTCTCTGTGTGTGTGAGTCTGTATGTGTCTCTGTGTGTGTCTGTGTATGTGTGTGTCTGTGTATATCTGTGTGTATCTGTATGTCTGTGTCAGTGTGTCTGTGTGTGTCTGTGCGTGTGTCTGTGTGTCTCTATGTGTCTCTATGTGTCTGTGTGTATCTGTGTGTGTCTGTGTATGTGTGTGTCTCTATGTATCTGTGTGTGTCTGTGTATGTGTGTGTCTCTGTGTGTATATCTGTGTTCTGGAACAGCTCCTGGTCAGCCGGAGAGGGGCACCCTGAACACGACAGTGTGTCTCTGTGTGTGTGAGTCTGTATGTGTGTCTCTGTGTGTGTCTGTGTATGTGTGTGTCTCTATGTGTCTGTGTGTATCTGTGTGTGTCTGTGTATGTGTGTGTCTCTATGTGCCTGTGTGTATCTGTGTGTGTCTGTGTATGTGTGTCTCTATGTATCTGTGTGTGTCTGTGTATGTGTGTGTCTCTGTGTGTATCTGTGTTCTGGAACAGCTCCTGGTCAGCCGGAGAGGGGCACCCTGAACACGACAGTGTGTCTGTGTGTGTGAGTCTGTATGTGTCTCTGTGTGTGTCTGTGTATGTGTGTCTGTGTATATCTGTGTGTGTCTGTGTGTGTATCTGTATGTCTGTGTGTGTTAGTGTGTCTGTGTGTGTCTGTGTGTCTCTATGTGTCTCTGTGTGTCTGTGTCTGTATGTGTCTCTATGTGTCTGTGTGTATCTGTGTGTCTGTGTGTGTCTGTGTGTGTGTCTGTGTGTCTCTATGTGTCTGTGTGTCTCTATGTGTCTGTGTGTCTCTATGTGTCTGTGTGTATCTGTGTGTGTCTGTGCGTGTGTCTGTGTGTCTCTATGAGTCTCTGTGTGTCTGTGTCTGTGTGTGTCTCTGTGTATCTGTGTGTCTGTGTATGTCTGTGTGCGTCTCTGTGTGTATGTCTGTGTGTCTCTGTGTGAGTCTGTGTGTGTCTGTGTGTGCCTGCGTGTGTGTCTGTGTGTTCCCGTGCATGGTGCATCAGCCATCTCAGATGGCAGCACAGCCGTGGGGGAGGCCAGCCGCAGCCACACTGTCATTGCCGAGCTCCCCTGGGGGACGCCTTTCTGCTGTGTGATCTCCTCTTTGCTCCTCCCCAGTCCTCAGCGTCTCCCTCTCCCGTCTCGGCCCTGCCTCTTCCTTCATCCCCCAACCCCCAGACCCTTTGCACGTGCTCTGCCCCCGACAGATGCTGTCCTGGCTGACTTGGTCTCATCCATCAGTCTGAGCCCCAAGGCGCCATCCTCAGGAATGTGTCCCTGGCGTCACCTGCTCCCCCGTAACCCCAACACCCACATGCCCCTCGGAACACATTTAACACACCTCTGTGTGCGCACTCGGTCCTGGTTTCGTTACCTCCATCCCCCGGGTTCCCCGCGTGCTTTGCTCACATGGGTCTTGGGAGGGGGACCCAGAACGGAGCGTGGCACAGAGGGGCCCCAGCACCGCCCCGCCCATGGCCCATGCGGGAGTTCTTGTGCCCATCACTGCTCAGAAAGCCGCTGCATATGTTTGGGCTGTGGTGAAAGGGATCCAGCCACATGCTTAATTTTGTGTGTGTGAGAAGAGAGTTTGCCTTTGAAACCTGCCTCTGGGGCTCTGCGGTGCCACCAGCCTGCTCGGGAGTGCGTCAGAGGTGACAGTTGATGGAGACGGCGCTGCCATATGGCCCAGGTGTCTGCATCTTCCTTCTGGGGGCCACTGGGGTTTGCAGCCAATTGCAGCTGTCAAGTTCAATGCCCGAGATGGGCTTTTGATTTTCCCAGGTATATCTGTGCGGCTGCGCCCCGCGAGAAGCTGTCATTCCCCGGGAGCAGGGCAGCTTCTGGGAGCTCCGTCTAGACGGGTCCCTGCTGCTGCGCCCCCCAAATAGCACAGGGAATTTCAAGGAAGACGGTGCCGGGCCCAAGACAACCTGGCGTGTTTGTGAGTTGGAAATCCAATTCCATCTCGCACGGCTCAATTCAGCTCCCTTTATTGAAATGGAAGCAGACAATATTTCTGAAATAAACGTCAGTGCCAGCTGGCTGGGCGCACCTGGCCGCTCGTGACCTGCAGACACGGGGGCTCTGGCGGGGCTGGGCTGAGAAAGCTCAGCCACCATCTGGGTCCCCCGAGGCACCTGCAGAGCGCTGAGAAATCCCAGGTGGCCAGGCTCCCCCTGCATTCCTGTGCTTCTGCATTGCTCACTGTGGGCTGTCTCCGCTGCGCCACAGACCAGCCTCTGAGTGCCCTGGGCCCTGGGCCAACCTCCTCCTCCCGAAGCTGTTGCAGGGGCCAGCCGGCCTCCCAGCGCTTGTCTGGGCAATGCAACAACTGCTTGGAGAAACTGCTGCTTCTGGAGCCAGTGCCCTGCAGTCGTTCTGCGGCCACAGGAGCGGGTCCTGTCCACTCACCTCCTCACGTCCACGCCCAGGAGCGCCCCCTTGCCCAAGGGCCTTCCCCGAACCCCTGGCATTATGCCCGGGCTCCTTTCCTCCTCCGAGTCCTTCTTGCCAGCCTCTTGGCAGTCTCGTGGATTTCCAACCTCTCCCCGTTATCTGGAAGTGCCACCAGGGCGAGGCCTCGGGGCCACAGTTGCAGCCACCTGGTGCCCTGCACCCTGTGGTCGCGATTTTACCTTCCCGTGAAGGATTTAGCTCGCCCCTGTCCTCACGCCATAGCTGCTTCTAGACGGTTTCCATTGCACAGGTGAAGATCATCCTCAGGCTCTGAGGAACAAAATCTCTGTCTTGGGTCAGATATCTGTGTGCTTCCAGGCTGATGCTGTGCCATTCGTTTCCCCTACTCCTGCCTGTAATATTTGTTCCTCCAATCAGCACTTGTCCAATCAGGGCTCCCGCCAATCAGGGCTCCCGCCAATCAGGGCTCCCGCCAATCAGGGCTCCCGCCAATCAGCGCTCAAAGAATCAGCGTTCATCCAGTCAGGGCTCCTCCAATCAGCACTCGTCCAATCAACGCTCCTCCAATCAGGGCTCCTCCAATCAGGGCTCCTCCAATCAGGGCTCCTCCAATCAGGGCTCCTCCAATCAACGCTCCTCCAATCAGCGCTCCTCCAATCAGCTCTCCTCCAATCAGCGCTCTTCCAATCAGCGCTCCTCCAATCAGCTCTCCTCCAATCAGCTCTCCTCCAATCAGCGCTCCTCCAATCAGGGATCCTTCAATTAGCTCCTCCAATCAGCTCCTCCAATCAGAGGTCCTGCCAATCAGTATTCTTCCTCCTGATAACAATTTTCACTTGGCTGACTCCACTTCAAAGCTGTTTTCCATTGGGATCCAAGCCGTTGGTTTGGGGCATGGTTCTTGGAATCCTTACTGGGCAAGTCTGACGATGAAGCACAGAGACAATCCTGAGCCCAGGGACCTGCCAGACCTTTCACGCTGTCCCTCGCCCCCCTCTCCACTCCCGTCCCCATGATGCCCATTATTTTCCCAAGCCACCTCCTCTGAAAGGTTTTGCAAACTCAGGAACCTGCCAGGCACCAACCGCTCCACATGCTCCTGGCTTCTCTCCGGGAAACTGACCCTCCCACTGTGACCTCACAATACATTCAAGGTCCGGTCAAGGCAGGGCCAGCTGCGCCCCTCCTTGTCCCTGATAGAGGGATCCTGTCCCCCTCTACATTTCCGTAAGTCGTGCGGCCAGATTGCATATGGCTACTAGGAGCCCAGCCGTGGGAGGCTGCCGGTTGGAATCCCAGCCACAAAAGCATGAAGCAACGTTACTCAACCTGGGCCTCAGTTCCCTCCTCTAGAGATGGGCCTGTGGGGGATTTCACCTCGCATCTCTGAAGGTGATGTGGGTGGTGGGGAAAGGCTTCTGGCTGACAGGCGGCCTGCTCGCTGCCCCAGCTCTACCTTGGCTTGTCACGTTGTCACCTGTGACCACCTCCTGTCCTGCCTGGAGATCCAGTGCCTGACAGGAAGGCTGAGCATGAACGATGACCCAAACGAGGGAACCAAGGGCTCAGAGACTCCAGGGCCAGGGGTCAATGGACCCAGGGTGATGCTTAGTGTGGAAATAGATGACCCAGAAGGTGACTCAGAAGGACGGCACCACCCTCGGGTCCCTGACAGCTCCCCTAGGGTGACTGAACCCCCCAACCTTCCCCACACAGAGCCCTCTGCACCTGCTTTTCTGGGATGGGCCAGTTTGCTCATGAGCCTTTCAATCTGCACCCTGGGCCCTTGCCTGGAGTGGAGTTCCAGGACACAGCATGAGTCAGGGCCCTGGGGATCAGTGTCCCCCAGGGCTCGGAGCCGGTGGAAAGCCCGTCTCTCTCTCTCTCTCTCTCTCTCTCTCTCTCTCTCTCTCTCTCCCTCTCTCTCTCTCCCTCTCTCTCTCCCTCTCTCTCTCTCTCACACACACACACACACGGCCACGTTCTCTGGGAGGGCAAAATTCAGAGTCGGGCCCCACACAGGAGGCGGGGATGGTTTCAGCACCCCCAACAGCTCCCAAAGGGCGGCACTCCTGGTCCCACCTGCCTGTGGGCGGGTGCTGTCTTGGGCGTGAATCCACTCTGGAGCAGTAATGACACTCAGTGAGATGACAGAGAGCTGAGACCCGTGTCCTGACACCTGGTGAGAGGCGAGACAGGGCGTGTCCCAGGAGGAGTTGCTGGGACGCGGAATTTCTGGTGTTGAGCATCCTTTGGGGGCTGCTAGGTCAACACTGTGCTCGCTACCAAGCCTCCACCTCGGGGCTCCGCTTTCCCACGTGGCGAGAGTTGACCCCGCCATTCTGTGGTTCTCGTGTCTGTCTAGGATCGGATGAGGAAGGATTTCTATGCGGAGAATGGGGCCCCCTCTGGGTCTGCTGACTGTAATATCTGTTTGCATGCGCAGAGATGAGAGTTGTCAAAAATCACAGAACGTGTACAGGAAGAGCCACTGGTTCGAACCTGTGATGGCTGGAATCCAAGTAGAGCACCCCCAAAGCATCTGCATGGACAGTGGAACCCTTGCCTGCCCACTCACCTCTCCTTCCTTCCTGCCTCGGCAGCTTCCCTCTGTGCCCTGGGTTCTGGGTAACCCCACAGTCAGATGAGGTGTCCCTGGCAGGGCTGGGCAGCACAGGGCTGGACAGGGCAGGGCTGGATGGGCCAAGGCTGGACAGGGCAGGGCTGGACAGGACAGGACTGGGGTGACCTCTGTCTCCAGGACTTGAGCAGTGGCTGAGCAGCTCCAAATCAGAGCTGGCCTGTCCACCTCACACTGTTCAGCTCAGGGAAACGGGTGCTCGGACTTGTCCATGCTTGTTGTCCACCTCTCCAAGCTCGCTGTTCAGTGTCCACATGTGACCGCAGGGGTGAAGCAGGAGTGGGGAGAGCAGTAAGTGGGAAAGGGAGGGAGGAGGGGGAGGGGAGGGAGAGAGCACTGGCGGGTGGGCTTGGGGCCGTGGTGGGGCATTGGAGGGAGGTGGGGAGGCGAGGAGGGGGCTGCGGGTATGGGCAGAGGCTGGGGTGGGGGCCACCAGCGGCGCTGACCCTCTTCTCTCTCACAGGGCACCAGCCACACCTGGGGGACTCGTGGCCCCGAAGCTCCGTGCATCAGCCACACCTGGGCGACTCGTGGCCCCGGAGCTCGGCCCAGGAGATGCCAGAGCTGAACCGCCAGTGCTGGGTCCTGGGCCACTGGGTGTGAGTGAGCCCAGCCCGGCCCCTGACCTCAGGCCCCCAGACCAGCCGCCCCGTACCCAGGACCTGGCTTGTGTGCTGTAAACTTAGCCAGCCTACGTGGGGGTCCCCAGGCCTGCCTGCTCCCTGCAGCCTGGATCTCAGACCCTGGAGATGGGGCTGGCGTGCACAGACCTTCCCGGCTGGCCTCGGGACAGTGCCTGACCATCTTGCCTCTGGGGTGCCCGGAGGGACACGACCACGGCCACGGAGAGTCCGGATGCCTCACGCCAGCAGGGAGGTCCAGGAGGTGCCATGACACAGAGCCCCGGGGTGGGGCGGGGGTTGGGTCCCCCAGAGGGGGCAATGACGCAGGCAACACCGGGTGGGTGGACCTGCAGGCACACAGCAGGGGCTCAATAAATGCTTGTTGAACCTGTTCCTTGCTGTGTGTGGAGGCCGGTCACTCTCTGGGCGTGGCAGCCCCCCTCTTGGCCCCCCACACTGTATACTGGTGAAGCCCGGTGGCAGGAAGGGTGTGGGATGGGGGGACAAGGGCAGCTGGACAGAGCCTGGCTGTCAGTGTGTCTGGAATTCCAGAGAGGAGCATGGCAGGGGTGAGGCAGTGAGGACTGAGATAGGCCCTCAGACCAGGCTCTCAGCTAGGAAGGGGGGAAATTGCCCCCAACTCCAGGGGGGCCTTTACTGTGTCTTGGACCACCTACATATCAGGTCCTGGGGCGTAGATCCCGGGTGGGGGGCAGAGTCCCGCTACAAAGCGAGGGGGCTGGGGTCACGAGATGGGCCTGATTGGTTGGTCGCAGAGCTAGTAAGTGTCAGAGGGGGGTTGGAACAAGAAACCATTGCCCCGTGAGGCCTCAGCCCTTCCCAGAACATCTGGGGGCTTTCCCCCAAGTAGAGCATGTTTTCACTCTCATAAATCCATCATCCATCAGTCACCCCCATCTACCTGTCTACTGTCCTTCCACCCACCCACCCATCCTTCTGTCACTCTACCCATCTATCCATTCCTCATCCATCTGTCCATTATCCATCCGTTCCTCATCTATCCACCCATCAGCCCATCTCTCCATGAACCCATCTGTTCATTCCTCATCCACCAACCCACCCATCCACCCATCCATTCATCCATCACCCATTAGTCCATCCCCTCCTAGCCATCCTCTATCCACCCACCCACCTGTCCATCCATCATCTTCACCTGGTATCTGTCCCTTTGTGTCTCATCTTTTCTTACCAACTACTCAACCAAGTTCCCATCTTTCCCACTGTGCCGTCCTGTGTGCCAAGCTGTGTGTGTGTGTGTGTGTCCTGCTGAGGTCTGCTGAGCTGCCCAGAGAGGGTGTCTGCCACCCTGCAGACAAGCCTGGCGCTTGGTTAACTGTGCGGGGCCTGACATTCACTGGGTGAGGCGAGATTGGTGCAATGAATGGGGCTGGTGGTGACTGGGGGAATGACCTTTCAGACAAGACATGAAGGTTGAATGGACATGTGGCAGGTGAGTGTGTACAGGAAGTTGGGAACATGACAGGAACTTCAAAACAGCCCAGAAGACAGGGATGGAGAGAGGGGTGGGGACATGGACACTGGGGCCCAGGATGCTTCGCTGTGGCCGGGGCAGTTGGGAGGTTCCAGCGGGGCAGGAAGTGGCCAGTGGGTTGTTCCAGGAACGCCTGGGAGGTACTTGTGTGTGCTGAGGAAGGGCCCCCCGGGCGGCGAGCTTCAAGCTGTGCTCTGGGAATGGTTCCCTCTTCATTCCCTCTTCAGCCTGGAGTGCTCGGAGAGAAGGGTGGGCCCTATCAGCGGGAAAGCGAGGTGGGCCTTGCACACTTGTAGGGAAAGATGGCAAGTGTGTGTGTGTGTCTTTGGTTGTGTGTGTGTGTGTGTGTGTGTGCTGGTGCAGCCACACAGCCACACAGAAGGGACTAGTAGCTTTGCCATCTGGGAGGGAAGTGGGGATGGTTACATGGCCAGTGGATATGAGTTCAGGTGCCAGGGGGACACTCTGCTGGCACGTGTCTGTCCATCTACCCACCCACCCACCTGTCCACACATCCATCCATCCACCCATCCACTCATACACCTGTCCACACATCCATCTATCTGTCAACCTGTCCACTCAGCCATACAACTCATCCATTCACCCATCCATCCACCCAGCCGCCCATCCATCCATCCATCCATCCATCCATCCATCCATCCATCCATCCACCCACTCATGGATGAACTGGGTGGGTAATTCATTTTCATTCACAGAAAGTGTTTCAGACCTACTGTGGGGTGGAGTGGAGACGCTGCAGGGCGCAGGGACGGGGCCTTGAACGTAGGACAGGGGTCTCAGCTGGAGCTGCTTACGGGTCTGTGCAGGGACCGCCAGCCAGGGCCCCAGGAGTCCCCCAGGCCCTTCTGAAGGGGGCATTCGGCCCACTGAGGCCCAGGAGACCTGGGTAAAAATGTTCATCTATTTTAGTAGTCGTGTTTTATGTCCATGTGTGTTAGAAAAAAAATATGTATCACGGCACCTGGCCGGCCCGGTCGCAGAGTCGTCGTTTAGGATGAAACCACAATAAGCATTTAAGTAAAAAAGCGAGTCAGCTTAAAGACAAGATGCAATAAATACTCGTGCAAGTGGTCTGAGGCTGGTGGCTGACCGCGCGCCCCCGCGCCGCCCCCCCCCGCCCCCCCCGCGAGCGCATCCCCCCTCCTCCCCCCCGCCCCGGTCTCCCTCGGGTAATGGAAATGTCCGCGTGATTCATGGGCACCCCCCACCCTGCCAGGACTGCGACGGGAGAGCTGGGTCTGGGGGCGGGGGGGGGGGGGACGAGGACACGGGCCAGGATGGACGTCAGGGATCAGACCACAGCGGGCAAAAGCAGGCGGGGGAGGGGGTGGGGGCTCTGTGGGGCAGGGAGAGCCACGCCTCACACCAGGTCCTGCCCATCCCCCTCCCCCACACCTTCTCCATCCACACCCTCCAGGGGTAGGGATGAGTCCTGCCGCCCGCCCCCCCCAAGTCCCTCCCGCCTGACAGGCAGTGCCGGGACACAGTGGGACGCCCGCCCCCAGCCCCCTCCAGCCCCCCAAGCTGTTACCCCGGAACTGTCGGTCCTTCCTCACACAGGCCTGTGCCCCCCCAAGCTGGGCTTGGAAATGAATCTGGGGAGCAGAGGACGACTAAGCAGCGCCCGTCACCCCCACCCTCGAGTCTCCCCTCCCCCGCCCCCGGGCCCCCTCTCTGTCCAGACCCAGAACGGACCCACTTGATGGTTCCACTCGGGCTCCAGTTCTGCCCCCAGGCCCCGAGGACAGGAGGAGCCAGAGCCGTCCAGGGCCACGTCTACTGCAGCTGGCCGGGTGAGTCTTGGCTGCCCCAGGCCCCCCGCCCCCCAGCAGCTCACTGCCGCCTCCTCCAAGCAGCCCTCCTGCCGCCCCCCCCCCCCCCCCAGCCCAGCAGCCCCACTGCCGCCGCCTCCAAGCAGCCCTCCTGCCTCACCACACCTGAGTGTGTACGCCAGAGACTGGCTGGGAACGAGCATGGGGAGTGGGCAGGGAGACCGCGGGGTGAGGCAGAGCAGGGGAGGGGCTGGTGAGAGCTCCCTGGGCCTGCACCCGGCACCCCTGCAGGCCAGGGCTGGGGGAACAGACGGGGACCCTCCCCACTGACTGTGTGCCTGGCACTGTCCTGGTCCTCCCGTGCCTGTGTCCATCTGCTGATGCCGCTGCCTACCCCAGGCCTGACCCCACCCCAGTTTCCCCCGGGAGAGAGAACCCCACAGCTGGCAGCACCCCTGGAGCTTGTGAATTCCCGAATGCCCGGGAATCGGTCCAGGCTGCAGGGGCGACCGGGAGATGGGTCCGGGCGTGTGCGTTGGCCTGACGCCCCTGAGCCACACTGGGGCCCTGCTCCTGTGTGTGTGTGTGTGTGTGTGTGTGTGTGTGTGTAGGGGCTCGGCGGCCCCCTCCTCCTCTCACCCTCCCTGCCCCCCCCCCAGGCTCTGGGACTGTTATGAGACTCCCCTCTCAGTGCTCCTCACTTCCCCACTTTCTGCCCAGCCTCTGGCCATCAACCCCTCCCCCCGTCTCCCCCTGAGGCTCAACGTTGCTGGGGTGGGAGGGCGCCCCGACTCTGCAGCCGACAGGACTCCTGGCCTTGCTGGCTGCCCATCTGGGCCCTGGCAGGGGGTGGTCAGTATGCTGGGGGGAGGGGAATGGGGCAGGGGGCTCGGGGCTGCTCCCAGGCCCTGGGGGCGGGGGTGGGGGCAAGCCAGGCTCCCCTCTCCCTGGCCCCGTTTTGATTGTCTGTTCTGGGGTCTCACCTCCCGTGCTGGGCGCTGCTCTGGGCTGGATGCTCAGGGCTCAGGGTTGCTCCCAGCTGGGACCGTGGGGGACCCTGCGGAGTTAAACCCCGGGGGCTTGCACCCAGCTTCCTGCCGAGCTGACACACCCCCTGGCCCTGCCTCAGCTTCCGGGACCCCTGGAAACCTGTGACCTCCCGAGGAACAGGGCGGCCCGCATACCCCCACCCCTGTCCCCCTCCTCTCCCGCCCCTCCCCCTCTCTCACAGCCTCTGCCCTGACCCCCAACCCCCAGGCCTTCACACGACCTGCTTCTGAGGGTCCCACCTCACGCTTCCGAGGTGAAGAGCCACTCCTGGTCACCACTGCCCCCCCCCCCCCAGCCCCACTGCCCCACCCTGCCTCTGAGAAGCCCCTCCCCTAAATACAGCTCTGGGCCCCCCTGGAGCACCACCCCCAGCCTGAAGCCACCACGTCTGGGGGGCTGGGGCATGACCCCCACACCGAGATGTTCCCGAGGGGCCCACACAGCGCAGGGCCCAGCGCCCAGGACTCTTGGACCGTGGCCCAACGAGGCCCCTTGCTGGCCTGGCGCCATCCTGGCCCTGAGCCCCCGGTGCCCCCTGGGGTGTCACCTCCCCGTGGGAAGCCGGTAGGAGCAGGGGGTGCCTGCAGGGCTCGCTGTCACTCCTGGGCTGACCCACACCAACACCCCCCTCCGCCTTCGTGCCCTCGGGGTCCACCGTGTCCAGAACCACAGGGGGGGCGGCCAGAAGCCAGGAAAGTGACATCCCGGGGGTCACGCCCAGCTTCAGCTCAGGATTCGTGGCTGGCCACGCTGTGTATCCTGGAGAAGTTGTTCAACCTCTCTGAGCCCGTTTTCCTGATGGGTGAAAGGAGGTGGATGATGGGCCCCCTGCCCAGGACTGTGCTGTGGAGCTGGTGGGTCCTGCCAGCAGGGGGGTAGGGGAGGGGGGCCCAGGAACCCGGCCAGCCCACACAGGGGTCCCATGCTCCGCTTTGGGACGCAGATAGGAGTCCCAGACCCCCAACCCAGAGTTTCCGACTTATTTTCTTAAAACATCTTTTATTGATTTTGAGAGAAAAAAAATAGAAACTTTATGAGTCAATGACCGTTGGCCCCTGTGGCCCCGAGCTGCCTAGGACACTCACAAACATCAGCGTGATCCGGGTACCAGTCTGGGGCACCAGCCGGAGGGTGGAGGGGACACACCTCCGGGCACCTCTGCCAGTGACCCCGCAGCTCTGGGCCTCGCACCCCCACGGGGAGGGGCTCAGGCTCCCTGGGGGGCGGGCCGAGTGGGCGCAGAGAGGGCCGGAGGTTTTCCTTTCTGGGAGAAACCGTTTCCCTGCTGCCCCGAGAGCCCGGCCCTGGGAAGAGGCCGAGTCTGCTCTGGGGGCCGGGGGCAGGCGGCCAGAGCAGGCGGGCTTCGGGCCAGCATGGCGGATTAATATTGGGAACGAGAAATCATCCACCACGGGGAAACCAATTTGGTCCCTGATCTGAGCTTGTTCCACGGATGGAAACAGACGCGCTCGGGGCTCCCCCGGCTGGGGCAGCAGGCGCGGCTCTGAGGGGCCGGCGCAGCAGGGATGCAGTGGGGGCGGGCAGCGGGAATCCCATGCGTGGCTGGGGGTCCTGGGCCCTGCTGGTGCTCTGAGGGCTCCCTTAGTGGGACGCTCCCCTTCTGCCTGCCCCGCACGCCCGGCTCCCCGCAGCCTGGACAGCGCCGGAGCTGGGTGGACAGGTGGGTCGGTCCTGCTGGCGCCCGGGTGCCCTCTGGAGCCAAGAACTGCCTGTTGGCCCAGCCTCAGCCTGGTCCTGGCCCCGGGCTGGACCACCCAGGGGCCTTGGGACAGGCCTGGGGGACGCCCTCGGCTCCCTGCAGTGGCCCCGGACACTGGGAGGGTGGGGGTGCCCATCCGGCCCCCCGCCCCATGCCGCCTCCATGCCCGTGGGTCCCGGGACTCCCGGCCCTCCCCATGCCACCTCCTGCTCTGGAGTGCCAGCTGGGGAGGGAGGGGCAGTGCCAAGGCAGGGCCTGGGAGAGGCAGGGCCGGGGACCCTGCGGCCAGGTCAGCACCGCCACCGTCGGCTGTCCTCGCTGATGCAGGTCTTGGGGCGCAGGGCTGTGGGGGGAGGAGCAGAGGATGGAGCTGGACACACACGAGCTGGACTGCTGGGCCTGCGCCCTGGCTCCCAGCTCTGCACCCCCCCTTCCCAGCTCACACCTCCACACCCCTGCTCCGCCCCCCCCCCCCCCGCCTCTGTCAGGCTAGAGCACCTCCCGCAGAGCCCCACCCCGCAGCCCCTTCTCCCGGATGCCCCCGCGGGGCTGCAGTGGTTGACCCCAGGTGCCCCTGCCAGGGCCTGGGTCAGTGGGGTGTGAGGGCCAGGCCAGCGGGTGGTGTCCGGCAGTACTGACCGGGATCAGCGCCGGGCCGCGGCTTCCTGCGTGCGTTGCTGATGAGCTGGTTCTCGTTCGTCAGCTGCACATCCTGGTCCTCCGTCTGGTCACTACAGAGGGGATGGACGGACGGGTCCTCAGCCGGGTGCGCGGCTGCCACAGCTCTAGTCGGGGCCAAGGGCCCGGCCCCTGCCCCGTGCCCTACCTGATGGCCGTGTGTCTCTCCTGGTGGCAGATGTCCGTGTCCGCAGTGAACAGGATGGTGTGGTACGGCACGGTGGGCTCACACGTGGGCAGGATGCCCCCTACCAGGTGGCCCACCATGGCCAGGACCCCATTGTACACCAGCAGGTCGTCCACCAGGAGCTGGGCCGACAGGGGGTCCACATGAGCCCCTTGCCTGGCGGCCACCGTAACACACAAACAGGGAGCGGCCCACCCGGGTCCCCCCCTCCCTGGTGCCCCACAGAGGAGTGGGGGGTGGCGGCCGGGGTGGGCTCCCACAGTCAGACGGGCTCACCCCAAACTCTTTCACCCCTCGCTGGGGAGTCTTGGCGTAGTTCCACAGCTTGATCATTGACACGGTGGTGGGCAGGTCAAAAATCACGTACACACGGTTCACCTGCAAGGAGGACGGCTGAGACCCCGTGGGCTGGGGCACCCACCGCCCACCCCAGGCCCACAAGTCCCGGGCCTGCGCCCCGACACCAGGTCTCCCCCTCCCGCCCCACCCCTCCTGCTGTCCAGGGCAGGGGGTGGGGTTCAGCCTCGGGACCTCCCGGGAATGCCCAAGGCTCAGCTGAGACACAGGCTGCCCCATCCGGCGCCTGCTGAGGGGATGGTGGGGGCTAAAGGCGCCTTGCAGACCCCAGCCCCCTGCCCCCCCAGCCCCGCCCCAGCAGCCCCCCGTCCCTTCTGGTCACCCACCAGGCCGGGCAGGATGGGCGCCAGCCACATGTGCCTGCCGTCGCTGGTGTCGTTCACCTGGTCCACGAGCTTGTCAGGCGTCCGCACGTCCCCGCACACCCCGTCCAGGGCGTTCACGCTGTCGGGGAAGGCGGCGATGTCTGCCGAGTCTAAGCGCCATAACCAGAGCTGGGCACCCACCTCGAGGCACACGGGGACAGCGTGGGGTAGGGGGCAGGAGAGCACAGGGGGAGCACACAGGGGGCCGGGGAGCACAGGATGCTGGGACACTGCCGGGTGTCCCCGAGGGTGGGCACTTGATGGGCAGTGCCCGCTGGCGTGGCCCAGCTGCAGTGCTGGCTCAGGTCCGTCCCCCACACCCCCCGGCCCTCCCCCCACCGGAAAGGATACTGTTCTCTGAGAGGGGGATCCTCACGCCCCGCTCGTCATAGAGCTCCAGGCCCGTGAGCCCGATGTAGTAGGGGTCCCCCCAGCTGGTCAGGAGCTGGAACTGGAAAATGACTGACAGGCTGTGAAGGAAAAGCTCCTGGCGCGCTGCAGGGCGGGTGGAGCTGCCGCGGAGGGAGGGACGGGGCTCTTCCCCTCCCTAACAAGGCTGAGGCCGTCAAAGTACACCTGACACCTCACTCCCCTCTGCATGTGTGCGCACGTGCGTAGACATGTGGGCAGGTGTGCGTATGTGTGTGTCTCTGCGCACGCGTGTGCACATGCACGTGTGTGCTTGTGTGAACGTGTGTGCCTCTGTGTGCATGTGGATGTCTACATGTACAATGTGTGTATGCATGTATGTTGCCTAGGCATGTGTGTATGTGCACGTGTTCATGTGTGTATGCATGCGTGCGTGTATGCAGTATGTGCTTGTATGTGCACACACATTTGTATGTGCATGCAAGAGTACATGTGTGTACAAACTGTGCGTGTGTGTACATGTGCGCATGAGTGTATGTGCGTGTGTGTGTTTTAAGAATTCAAAACCTGTCCCCAATGCCTCCGCTTCCCCCCCTGCTGGCCTTGGGGCTGTGCAGCCTCCCAGATGGGATGCCCCGCCCACCCCGCCTCAGCCCTGCCCCAGCCGCTTCCTCTCAGCACTCCCAGCGGTCAGCAGCCTGCGGCCCAGGCTCCCCTCACCCGACCCTTCCCAGCGGTGTGGCCCTAGGGGTCTCAGCTCTCTGCTGTGAGTTGGGAGGGGGCTGCGGCTGTGCCCCCACGGTGGAGGGGCCAGAGACCGACAGTTCTCCCCTTCAGCCCTCCTTGTGACCTGGTCAGAGCTGCCCCTTATCCCGGCTTCTCCGCCTGTCCCCCCGCCACGCTGACTCCTGGAGGTCCTGGAACGACCCAGCAGCCCCCGGCCAGCAGCCAGGGCCAGGCCTGCCTCGGTCAGAAGGGCCGGGAGGTGTGGACAGACAGACAGGCAGACAGACAAGGATACAGCCACAGGGCATCAGCGGTGCCTCGTAGTCCATGCTCGCCCGCTCCGTGCTCTCGGCCTCCAGCCTGGAAACAGAAGGGCAGCCCGGGACGCTGAGGCCAGCCGGACCCAGGCTCCACGGGAAGGCTGTGCGGGACTCTGGCCTTTCTGGGGGGGGGGCAGGACACCTCCCACCTTGTTCCCATGCATCGCTGGGATCCCTCCTCCACCAAACAGCCCTTCCAGGCAGGCACCTCAGCCCACCTCCTGACGGTGGAACTGGGCACAGAGACACGCAGTCACCTGCTGGGGGGCACAGAGTGACCTGCCGCGGCCCTGGGATGTGACCTCAGAGGCTCCAGGGCAGAGCCCGGCCTCGCAACCACCCACCAGCCAGGCCCTGCATGAACGAGATGCTTCCGGACGCAGAACGGGACAAACGCAGGGGATAGATGGGGGGGGGGGGGGGGTTGGAGGGGGATGGCTGAGGGAATGGCTGGGGGCATGGATGAGGGGCGGATGGGGGAGGGAGAGGTGGGGTTGCGGGGGTGGGGGCGGGCCACTCTAGCAGGGTGGTCGGGGGACGCACAGGTGCTCAGGTGGAGCCGAGCAGGGTCTGAGCGGGCACAGGGCAGCAGGGCCGGGGCTGGGGAGACGCTGGGCCGTGGGGAGCCCTGGAGGCTTTCTCTATGGGCTCTGCGGGGCCACCCCTGCAGGGTGGGGAGAACGTGCTCCCGAGTCCTCCCCGGGGCCCAGCAGCCTTAGGAGCAGCAGGTGGTCCTGGGGACCCGCCTGAAGGGCCCGAAGGGCGCGGCTGCAGCAGCCAAACTCATTCAGTCTCAAGAACTTGGCCTCTGGCGTTCGGCCTCGGGGGCTTAGGAGAGTGAACTGCAGCTGCGTTTACAGATTCCTGCAGACGAAGGCTGCGGTGGAGCCAGGCGAGGAGTCCCAGGGAGTCCGTGCAATCATTTCTGGCACTTTCTGACTTCGAACCGCAGAGACCAGCGAGGGAAGGCTCTCTAGAACCAGCCGGCTGGCGGGGCCTCTGCTCCCGGTGGGACACGCAGCCTGGCATTCAACAGCCCTTTGCCCGGCCCCGGCAGCGGCAGCGTGAGGGGGGCCCACACGTCCCAGCCCTGCGAGGCTGAGCTCCAGGACGGCTCCTGCCTGGTCCCCGTCACCCCTGCTGGGCGCGGCGCCCTCACCTCTGCGTGGGCCGGGCCGGCAGCCGGGCCTGGAGGTAGTCGACGAAGAGGATTTCCTGAGCAAAGTCGAAGTGGCAGTTGCCGGGCCCCTTCCGGATGAGGAAGCCCTCCGGGGGGGACACGCTCAGCGCGTCCAGGGAGACGTGCACGATTTTGGCCTGGCGGATGGGAGGGTGCACAGGCCTGAGGACGCAGTCCACGGCCGCTGACCGGGCTGGGGCCAAGGGTGGCCGCCACTTCCCACGGGGCCTCCCCGAGTCCCTGGCCTTGAGCTGGTCTGCCCTCCTCAGGCGCCCCTGCTGATGCCCGACTGGGGGGCCGCTTCTCAGCGGCACCCCTCCTCTGTGCCCGGGGACAAGGAGGCAGGCCCTGGCCACAGTGGACACACACAGAACAGGCCAGCCAGCTCCTGTAGCCCCGGGTGGGAGGGCAGGGTGGCCCGGGGCTGGACTCAGGGGCTCTGACACTGCCCCCGCCCCCACAGGACTGACCATTGTCTGAGTCACTCAACCTCTCTAGGCCTTAGTTTTCCAATCTTTGAAATGGGCTCAGCGAGCAGCTGAGGGGAGATTTGGCGAGGACAGAAGGTGCCACGTGCACACGTGGCAGGGCTGACCCCTGCAGCTCCTCCCGGAGCTCTCCCCAGCCCTAGGCTCTGAATGGCCCCACCTTCTCCAGGGGCCTTTCCAGCACCCTCCGTCCATCCCCTGAGGCGACATATGTCTGTGACTCGTGGGGCTTGGTGCTTGCTGTGTGCTATGTGGGCCATGGTGCTGGGGAGGGCGGGTGCGTGGCATGTGGCAGAGCATGGGAGCCCGGACAGGAAGCTCACGGGGCCCGACTGTGTGACGCCGAGCGTCAGAGGCAGTTACTGTCCTCTTCACTGCACAGACACAGAAACGGAGGCACAGAGAGGGCAAGCCGCCTGGCCAGGGTCACACAGCAGGGCCAGGCAGGTGGAGGCTCCCAGGCCAGGCGTGGAGCCAGCCCTCATCACTGTGTGCAGAGGGAGGGGACGCGTGTCTGTTCACAGTGACACCAGCCAACAGAACAGGAAACGGGGCCTCTCTGTCGTTCCTTCCCACGCGCCACAGGGCCAGGTCCTAGGGATCCCGCCCCCACCCCAACTTCCCACGCCCAGTGGGAGGCGATCCTGCACCCAACTGTAAATCTGGGACCTGGGGGGCACCGCCTCTCCCTCCCAGGGACGGAGGTTCCAAGAAAGAACGGCGGGTGCCAGTGCGCCCCCGCCCTGGCCTGGCCCTAGGCTGCGTCCTGGACATGGGACAGTGAGTGCCCACGGGACTGGGGTCCCCGGGGAGAGGCCCCGAGTCCGCCCGGGCTCCTCATCTGGGGCGACCGTCTGCAGGGAGACGAGCGGCCCCCTCCCCACAGCTCCATGTGGAAGGTTCTGGAGGATTTATGCCCCTCTCCGGCAGCCACGCCGGCCATTCATCAAGGCACCCTTCCCCTGACAGTGGCCGGCGCGTGCCCCGTCCCCTCTTACCCCGCGGTAGGTGTCCTCGGGAGATTTATTGTAGTTCCAGAAGCGCAGGCCCGCGATGCTCTGGGCCCTGTCGAAGCGGATGGTGAGCACGTGGTCCCGCCCCGGCGAGAAGGGGATCAGCCACATGTGCTCGTCCTCCGTGGTGATGTTGGCACCATCAATGAGCCTGCAGGCAGGGTGGGGGAGGGGAGCGTGAGAGCGGGTGGCTGGGGGACGGGGGACGGGACCCCGGCTCAGGGGCTGCGCGCCTCCCCCTCCACTGCCTGGCAAGAGCCCCTCGATCCAGACACAAAGGGAGAGCAAGGGGAATCAGAGAACGGGGTGGGGGCTGGGGTTCAGGCCTCTGGGCACCACAAAGACACAAACACTCCCCGCTGGCCAGGGCACCTCCAAAGGCTTAAGGGGGAGTGGGGGAGGGGCTGGAGCAATAGCACAGCGGGCAGGGCCTTTGCCTTGCTGGGGCTGACCCGGCTTCAATCCCCGGCATCCCATAGGGTCTCCGGAGCACCGCCAGGAGTCATTTCTGAGTGCAGGGTCAGGAGGAACCCCTGAGCATCACTGGGTGTGACCCAAAAAGAAAAAAAAAAAGAAGAAAGTGAGTCGGGGGAGGGATGGAGATGACATTTTTAGGGTCCTTTAACTCAAAGATCCCGTTTCTGGATTTTTTCCTCCCCACTGTCCTAATGAAAATGTATTCAACACATTCTTAGATGCTCTGCAAGGCCGCATTCTCCTCACGGGACCCAACACGAAACAAGACGGCCTGGGTGGCCTCAGGAGGACAGAGGGGGTCTGGCCCCGAGGCAAAAGGGATGCTCAGGGATGGGGGGGAGGGCGGTCTGGGAGAAGGCAGGAGGAGAGACCCTGGCAAGCGTCTGTCTGCACACAGGAAGCCGGTCAGTGTCTGGGAACGCTTGAGAATTCTCTCTTCTGGCTGCTGTCAGGCCGGGGACTAAAGGAGGTCCCAGGCACGTGGGGAGCTGCACCCTGGCCCTGAGGCCAGGCGGCCTGAGCACTGGGCAGCGTCCCCCTTTCCTGGCTGGGGAGGGGAGGGGGAGCTGCACAGACCTGGGGGTGCGGGACGAGGCCTCTGCAGAGTGGTCTGGCCAGAGCGCAGTGTCTGGGGACCCCCCGCCCTTCCTCCGCATTGGGGCAAAGGCCGCCGCACCCTGTGTTCTGAACAGAGCCCACGTGTGCCCCTCACCCCCGCCTGGTGTGGCTGCCCCTGCTGGGGGCTGCAGGCTGACCTCAAAGCAGCCTGGGAGGGTCCCGAAGACCCCAGAATGCCTGGGGCACAGCCCAGACCCTGCCCTCGGGGCTCCCCCCTCCCCCCTCGCCCCAGCCCCCCACTCCTGACTCCTAATGACCAGGAGGCTGGCGCGGGGGAGAAACATTCTCTCATGGAAAAAATCGATTTGATTTTTTTTCCGTTTCCGTGGAAAAGTTGGGGACTGGGGGTGAATCTTCTCATCTCCGTGCGCCCGCGGGGGGAGCGTTTTCCCTCCTCGCAGAGGCTCTTGCTCATCTGATGGATGGCACAGCTCACGGCGGGCTGGGATAGAAACGCGGGGGAAACTCGGCAATTTAACACTGGGGTGTTTGTGGAATTAAGCTGACGGAGGGCGATATGAGAGAACCTTCTATTTCTTCTAAAAGCAATTACTGCTCTGTCCTAGAACAGCGTCCGCCCCAGGTTTGCGAGACAGAGTCACTGCGATGTTTACAGCTGACCGCGAGTTTCCAAGTGACACGTTCCAGTTCCACCCCCAGAAAAGCATAGCCACAGCGATAGTGGGCACCCCAAGTGGTCAGTGAGCTCCAGAGTGGTCAGTGTGCTCCAGACTGGTCAGTGAGCACCCGAGTGGTCAGGAGCGTCAGAGCAGTCAGTGAGCACCCAAGTGGTCAGTGAGCGTCAGGGTGGTCAGTGAGCTCCGGAGTGTTCAGTGAGCACCCAAGTGGTCAGTGAGTGCCAGAGTGGTCAGTGTGCTCCAGACTGGTCAGTGAGCACCCTAGTGGTCAGGAGCGCCAGAGCAGACAGTGAGCACCCAAGTGGTCAGTAAGCGTCAGGGTGGTCAGTGAGCTCCGAAGTGTTCAGTGAGCACCCAAGTGGTCAGTGAGTGCCAGAGTGGTCAGTGTGCTCCAGACTGGTCAGTGAGCACCCGAGTGGTCAGGAGCGTCAGAGCAGTCAGTGAGCACCCAAGTGGTCAGTGAGTGCCAGAGTGGTCAGTGAGCATCCGAGTAGTCAGTGAGCACCTGAGTGGTCAGTGAGCATCAGGGTGGTCAGTGAGCTCCGGAGTGATCAGTGAGCACCAGAGTGGTCAGTGAGGACACAGGTGGTCAGTGAGCTCCGGAGTGGTCAGTGAGCTCCAGAGTGGTCAGTGAGCTTGAGTGGTCAGTGAGCTCTGGAGTGGTCAGTGAGCACCCAAGTGGTCAGTGAACATCAGGGTGTTCAGTGAGCTTCAGAGTGGTCAGTGAGCAACAGAGTGGTCAGTGAGTGCTAGAACGGTCAGTGAGCTCCAGAGCGGTCAGTGAGCCTTTGAGTGGTCAGTGAGCACCCAAGTGGTCAGTGAGCGCCAGAGTGGTCAGTGAGCTCCGGAGTGGTCAGTGAGCGCCAGAGTGGTCAGTGAGCACCCGAGTGGTCAGTGAGCGCCAGAGTGGTCAGTGAGCACCCGAGTGGTCAGTAAGCTCCGGAGTGGTCAGTGAGCGCCAGAGTGGTCAGTGAGCTCCGGAGTGGTCAGTGAGCACCCGAATGGTCAGTGAGCATCAGGGTGTTCAGTGAGTTTCAGAGTGGTCAGTGAGCAACAGAGTGGTCAGTGAGCTCCAGAGTGGTCAGTGAGCACCAGAGTGGTCAGTGAGCTCCGGAGTGGTCAGTGAGTGCCAGAGTGGTCAGTGAGCACCCGAGTGGTCAGTGAGCAACAGAGTGGTCAGTGAGTGTTAGAATGGTCAGTGAGCTCCAGAGTGGCCAGTGAGCGTTCGAGTGGTCAGTGAGCTCCGGAATAGTCCGGTCACGGTCTGTGCACTGTTTCTAGAGCCCGAATCAGCTTCCTGGGGAAATGGCTGATGCCACATATGGGACCAGAAACATACAAAATAGCTGAGTCACCTGCAGGGCCAGGAAGTGGAAAAACGGTCAGCAGGTGCCTTGAGACAGATGCAGGAGTGGGCTGGGGCGAGGGGCCAGCGGTCAGGTGTGTGTCTGTATGCACAGGGACCCCATCCCCTTGTGATGCTACAGGGCCCCTCAGTGTCACTGGGTGGGCCCTGGTGTCCCTCCAGGTGAGCAGTGCCCAGGCCCTGGGCTTCTTGGCATGCTTGGCCACGTTCACTGGCCCCTGGGTCCCCTGAACTGGGCCCCACACACTGGGCTCAGGGACACTCACTTGTCCAACGTCCGGGAGTCGTCGCTGTACTCCGGGAGGTCATTCAAGTCTCTGGGGGAGGCGGAGATCTGGTGCGGGCCGATGGGCAGAGCCTGGCCCTCCCTGCCCACCACCTCCAGGCCCGTGAGCCCCAGGTAGTGCAGGTCCCCCCAGGAGGCCGTGAAGTTCAGCTGGAGGCCTGCAGGGAAGAGGTGGCTGAGCCCAGGAGAGGGCGGGGCGGGCGCTGACCGTCCCTCCCGTGACCCAGCTCTGGCCTGCGGGTGGTCTGCCGCGGTCCCCTGCCTTCCTCCAGCCCTGTGATGGCCTCTCCACACGAGCCTCCTGGCATCCGGCTGCTCTCTCGCCGCCCTCCTGCCCAGTGCTCCGCTCTACCCCAGCACTGCCCTGGCTGGCCCCAGCTCCTTGCTCCCTGCCCAGTGCTCCTGCCTCCACCCCAGCGCTGACCCCTGGCTGGCCCCTGCTCCTCGCTCCTTGCGAAGCGCCCGAGAAAACGTCCACATTCATTTGCTTGTTTTCCTGGCTCCTGCCTGAGGCTGAGGGACCCCGTGGCTCCATTAGCTGTGCTGACTCAGAGCCCAGAAAGAAGACCCCGAGGTCACCACGCACGGAGTCAGGTGACGGAGGCACCTGGCCCTGGGACAAAAGGGCAGTGACCACAGTGACCTCTCTGAACTCTAGGAGACAGGTAACAAGCACACAGCACAAAGGTCTCCTGAGGCAGGAGAGACGCGCAGAAAGTGACCACAGGAAGTGAGTGCAGGAAGTGACCAGAGGGGCAGATACCCACGGCCTTCCTCCTGGAGGCATTTCTGAAATCTGACCCGTGATGGGCTGGGCAGAACCATGACGGTCTGGGTTCTGGTTGTCGTCCCTCTCTGTATGGGAAGACGGGGGTGGGGGGTATGAAAACTGGGGTGACAGGACCCCAACGTGTACTCTATCTGGAGACTGGTGGTGGCTGGGGCAGTGCTGATGGCCTGGCCAAGGGTGGGGGTGGGGAGGACGGGGCGACAGACTCAGGTTTTTTTGGGGGGGGGGGGCCCTGCCAGGGAGGAAGTGAGAGCAGGAGGAAATTTTCTTTTTCTTTTTTTGCTTTTTGGGTCACCCGCAGCAATGCTCGGGGGGTTCCTCCTGGCTCTGCACTCAGGAATTCCTCCTGGCGGTGCTTGGGGGACCATACAGGATGCTGGGGATTGAACCTGGATCAGCCCTGTGGAAGGCAAATGCCTTACCCACTGTGCTATCGCTCCAGCCCTGCAGGGGAAGTTTTGACCTGAGGGACTGAGTGAATGTGGTCTGGTTCTGCGGGGGGCGGGGTGGAGGTGGAGGAGGAAGGGGTGAGGCAAGCGAGGGACAGACACCAGCACCCCCACCCCAGGAAACAAGGGCCGGCCCTGACCCGCCCGGGTGGCCATGGTCTCTCTGTGCGTCCAACCAAGCGCCCCGAGAGTCCACCGAGGCAGCCCAGAACCGCTGCCGTGCGCGGCCTCCCCCGCCCTCGGGAGTATCAATTAGTGTTTATATAAATGGAAATTAATTTCCTTATTTTTCTCCCATGTTTCAAACTCTCTCGGCTCCTTTCCTATTCATCACTGCTGCTATTTGCAAAACTTCCAAAATTAGTGTCATCTGCAAATTAGCAAGCGACATCCAGCCCCTTTCCAAACACGAATCGGGCGGGCCGTATTTCCCCAGCCTGGCACATTTCCCCACTCGGAGCCACCGGGCTGGGGTGTGGCATGATTGAAGCTAAAGGTGCATGAGTGTGTGAGTGTGTGTGTGGGACACACACACACACACACACACACACACACACACACACACACACACACAATATCACTTTCCTCCTGGAAGAAAAACTTCCGGGCTGGCCACGGGCTGTGCTCCTGCAGGCACCATCGTGGTTCCCGTCAAGAGGGCGTGGACGAGCAGTGGCTCTGGGGCAGGTCAGGTGAGTGGACCCTGGTGTGTCTGGCCGGCCAGCCAGCCTCCTGGTTACAGAGCCCTGTCCTTCTCTCTTGGGGTTGGGGCGACACTGTCCCCGTTTCCCGCCCCCCTTGGGAACCCAGGGGTGGGTTTCCGGGTGGAGTGAGTTGGCTGAGGAGACCAGGTCCCGGGGATGAGGCGACCTCATGGGCCTGGCGCGGGCAGACAGAGGTGAGCCCCGAGCCAAGTGCCCCCGTGTGTCTGCGAGTGGAGGAGGCGAGAGAGGCACCGGGGCAGAGACAGGCAGACACGAGGCCTGGTGACCTCATCTGCACCCCTGGGCTCAGCTGCTCCGGAAACGAGCATCCCCACGGCCTCATGAATCAGTTTCTTTTTCTGCTTTAACTCAGTGGAATGAAGTTTCCGTTGTGCACCAGCCCCTCGCCGCCCCCCGCCCCCAGGCCCGACCAGCGCAGAGGAGCCCACGCAGGACAGAGCCCGCCCGCCAGGCTCACACATGCTCTCAGCCCCTCAGCTGAGCGGGGTGCACAGTACGGGCCCCGGGGTCACACCGGCTGTGTCTGTGGGCCGAGGTCGGTCCCGCCAGCTCACTGGGCCTTGTGTCATCTGGTGGGGAGGCCCCGCAGGGACAGACGGACAGTCCTGGCCAGCTCCCCCCCTCGGAGGCAGCCCTAGGTCTTTCCTGCACACAAGCCCTGGGGATCAGGACCCCCAAGGACCCCAGGACGCAGGAGCGGGCGGGCCAAGTGCATGAGGGCGTGGGGAGACGGGGCCGAGGCTGTGGGGTAGCAGGTGACAAGCACAGCGCTGACCAACACTGACCAGCGCAGCAGCTGGGTCATGCCGAGTTTTTGGTATTAGAAAATAGGGTGGTGGGAGTTGAACCCAGGGTTCTGCTACGAATCCTGAAGATGGGGTCACAGAGGCACCCCACGAGGCCGGGAGCACGGAGAGGGGTCCTCCTCCTCTTCCTCCTCCCCCTCCTCTTCCTCCTCCTGCTGCTCAGCAGTCGCCACGGAAGTGAAGGCCCAGCGTGGGGCTGACTGAGGCCGGGCACCTGCTGGACCCTCAGCCCCTGCTTGGACAATTTCAGCCCTGGTGGGGGTCAGCGCTAACACATGAGCCTGCATGTAAAACGCAGATGCGCCCATGTGTGTGTGTGTGTGTGGGGGGGGTGTATATGTGCGTGTGGTGTATGTGTGTGTATGTGTGTGTTATGTGGTGTGTGCATGGTCTATGTGTGTGTTTGTGTATGTGTGAATAAGTGTGTGTGGTGTTATGTGTATGTGTGTCTGTGTGTGGTGTATATACATGTGGTGTGTGTGGTGTATATGTATGTGGTGTGCGTGTGATATGTGGTGTATGTGGTATGGGTGTGTGTGTATATAGTGTATTGTGTGTGTACGTGGTGTGTATACGGTGTATGTGGTGTGTATGTATGTGTGTGGTGTGTGTGGTGTATGTGGTGTGAGTGTATGTAGTGTGTACTGTGTGTGTGGTGTGTATATGGTATATGTGGTGTGTGTGTGCGTGTGTATGTGTATGATGTGTGTGTGGTGTGTAGTGTATGTGTATGTGGTGTGTGCGTAGGTGTGGTGTGTACTGTATGCACTGTGTGTATGCGTGCGTGTGGTGACGCAGCCCCAGGCCACAGCACACAGGGACCGTCTGCCCACAGGCTGGCTTCAGTGCAGGGCACAGCCTGTCCCCCGCCCAAGGAGCCCTGTCCCGGCCCCAGCCCCCACAGGTGCACCGGGCGCTTCCGGGGGCTACTCACAGATACCGTGGTAGATGCCTGGCTCTGGCGTGGCGGCCTCGGGGACGGGGGTGCTGGCGAGCAGCTCCAGCTCTGGGGCCTACACAGGGCGGGGGGAACCGGGAGCCGTGACTGCCCTGATCCTGGCCTTCCCGCCTGCCCGCTGGGGCAGCCCCGCACCCGATGGACAGTGTCCGAGCTCTATCTCACGGGCAGGGAGGCCGAGGCGAGAAGAAGCCTCGTGGACGGGGAGGGGGGGTCGGGGGGGGGGAAGGGGGAGGGAAAGAAGAGGAGAGGGGAGCGGGGGAGGAGGTCGAACCACATGTATAGTTCTCAGCCCGGGGGTCCGAGGGCACAGGATGGAGCCCCTAGCCCCTGGTCCAGGCGGACGCCAGCCCTCTGGGTCTCCGTGTAAACACGCTGCCAGACCTCAACCTCACGCTTCGGGGGGGACAGGGGCGGGCGGGGGAGGGTTGGGAGGAAGGAGGGAGGGGAAGGACGTGCCTGAGCTCTTCCTGAGGGGACCCTGAGATGCTCTGGGTCTGAGAGCCTCGGGACTGGAGGCAGAGGAGCCCCCGCCCTGGGGATACAACTGGCCATGGGGCAGGGTGGGGGCGGTCGGACCATGCGCTTCTCTGGCCAACACGCCTACGCCCAGTCTCCTGACCAGGCCCCCTGAGCCGCCTCCACCTCAGTATCAGGCAGAGACAGTCAGAGGGAGATAGAGACAGACAGAGACAGTCAGAGACAGAGAGATAGAGACAGAGACAGACAGAGAGAGTCAGAGACAGAATCATAGAGACAGGCAGAGGCAGAGACAGAGAGGCAGAGACAGAGCTCCATCTGCGCCTCAGCCGCCCCCATCCCCACCCCTGCCCGCGTCTCAGGCATGAGCCTTCCCGGCCTTCATCTCTCAGACTAGCCATGAGGCAGCAGGACCCCGCCCGGGGCAGACACTCCCGCGCCCGCCCGCGTCTCTGTCACAGAGATGACAGAGACGGACCGGTTCCCTCCTAGCTCTGATTAAAATCTGAATACTTTCTTCACTTTGGTTAAAAAAATAATGATGATTAGAGAATGAAATACGGCGTCCGGGGCCGGAGATGAAGGAGAAAAATGGGAGCTGTCAGAACAGCCGCACCGGCGGCTCCGGGGAATCCGTCTTCATTCCTCACAGGGCGCCCCCCACCACCCCCACCTCCCCGCCTTACCGGGTCCTCGGCGCCCAGGCCGGCCTGGGTGTAGGGCCGCTCGTCGCCCGCGCCGTCGGCCGTGCTGGGCCTCCTGGGAGCCTCCTCGCCCTGCAGCCCGCACAGGCTCTCGCCGTCCATGTCGAAGGTCTCGTCGGAGCAGAAGATGGCCTCGAGGATGTCATCGTCCGTGGTGAAGAGGATGGTGTCGCCGAAGTGCTCGGGGCCTGAGTGGGCCGCCGGGAAGGACGAAGAAGCGTCAGCTCGACCCCGAGCCCCCACCATGGGCAGCTCAGGAGCCCGAACCCCTCTGCTCCTCCCGGCTAGGACAATGCCACAGCCCCTGACGGCTGGCTTGCTCTCACAGCTGGGGCAGGGGGTGGGGGTTGTCCTGGCTCAGGGAGGAGCACCGACACGAAAGGACGGGCCCAATGGCGTGAGGGAGGTCAGGGACGTGCATGGGTGCAGGGGTCAGGCTGTTGGCGCCCCTCAGAGATCCCAGTGGGCCCTGGATGGGTGCAGAAGCCACTTGCCCAACTTTAGGGTCCCAGTGGCAGAATGAGTGAGTGCTGCAGCCCCCGCCCACCCCCCCCACCCCCGCTCCTCCCAGTCTGCTCAGGCCTCGGGTGGGCACTGGGTGAGACAGTGCCCGGGGGTGGGGGTGGGGAAGCAGAATGAGGCTGTTTGCACCCACTGGGGCTGCCGGCGCTCACCTCCTGCCAGGGTGCCCGAGGCCTTGGCGATCTCGCCCCGGAAGATGCAGCGGCCGTCAAGCAGCATCTCCACGTCGCGGACGCCGCGGAAGGAGTGGATGCGGGACTTGTTGTAGTTCCACACGCGGATCAGGGCCACCTGGCAGGGCCGCGCGAACTCCAGCGCCACCGAGTGGGCCCGGCCCGGCGTGAAGGGCGCCAGCCACACGTGCATGTCATCCTGCGTCCGGTTGACCCCGTCCACGAGGTTGGCCACCACGCGGGGGTCCCGGCCGTAGGCGGGCAGGATGTTGATGTCGGGGGGGTCGGCCCGGATGCTGGCCACGCGCACGGGCTCGCCGCGGGAACTGAAGATCTCAATGCCGTTCAGCCCCACGTAGTGCCGGTCGCCCCACGTGGACCGGATGTCGATGAGCAGGTGCTGGCCGTAGGGGAGCACGGGGATCTGGAAGTCGTCCGCGTCGGCCTCCCCAGCCTCGTCTGGGCCCAGGGGGCGGCCCTCGGGTGCGCACTCCGGCCTCCCCTCTTCCTGGGCCGGCGCCGGCGGCAGTGGTGGTGGTGCCCCGTGCCGGCCGCCCCGCTGCTGCTGCAGGAACTCGTCCAGGATGTCGCCCTGGAACTCGTCCTCGAGGGAGATGCGGCCCCGGTGGCTGCGGTCGAAGGCGCTGAGTGAGTCCCACGACTCGTGCAGCTGGTGCTCCTGCTCGCTGGGCCACAGGGCCGGGGCTCTGGCGACGTCTGCGGGGAAGCACCGAGTGGCAGTCCCGTGAGTGGTGCCCGAGGGAAGCAGGGACCCTCCGCGAGGCCCTTGGACACTCCAGATAGCACTGGGCGCGCCAACTCCACCCTCACTGTTCCCCCTTCCCCGAGGCTTCCACTCCTCACTCTGCCTCTGCTCCCCAACCGCGGTCCCCGCCTGCTGCCCCCACACCCTTCTCCTCACGGGCCCCTCTGCCCTGCTGGGTCCCAGTGCCTGGCACAAGCTGGCATGTGGAAGTGTCCAGTGTTTGTAGGATAGACGGGGGGCAGGGGTGGGGAGGGACAGTCCAGTGGGTAGGGTGTTTGCCTGGCATGTGGCCTGCCCGGGTTCGATACCTGGCACCCCATGTGGTCCCACAAGCCCAGTCAGGAGTGACCCCTGAGTGCAGAGCCAGGAGTCAGCCCTGAGCACAGCCGGGTGAGACCCAATAGAAGGACGGGAGGTTGGTTCCATTCGGAGTGGCCCTGCGCTCTGCCCGCAGGGGGTGGGGGACATCTGCCTTCCCGCCTGCTCTTTGGGCTTCCTCTGTCCTCTCCCTGCTTTGCGTCAGCCATTAGAAAGACACGGGGCTTCCCTCTCCCTTTCCACCTGCAACTGGGCGTAACTTCCAGCACAGGATTCCCGGGACTCTGCAAAGACGTCTCCACAGATGTTTCCTATGCTTGCATTTCTGCTGATTGGAATGAAGGCTGGGCCAGCTAGCAAGCATAAGAGGGGCCAACATGTGGGGAGGGGGAGGGGCTATGTTGGACAGGTCAGTCTAGGCTTCTCTGCCCCAGGGTGCAAGAACAGGTTCTGCTCTCCTGGGTGGGGGAGAGGGGCCGCCCTCAGACTTGCTTTCACAGAGCAGCATGCTTTGGGCTTGGCCGGTGGACAGGTTTCTCCTGGTCCACCTTCTCCTGGACCTCTGGGGTGGTGGGGGGGAATGTTTCATTCCGTTTGCAGGAGAACACACCGGAACCCCGGGCTGGGGACCAGGGTTTGGTCCCATCTGTCGCTGCAGCTGACTGCTGCTGTTTGGGCCTGCACTGGGGGCCTGGAGGGGGAGCGTCTGTGGACGGGGCTGTTTCAGACTGGAGACCCCAGCTCTGAGGCCGGGAGGGCCAGCTGGCCCAGAGCCCGCCTGGACTTCCAGCCCCTGCAAGTCCCTGGGCCACAGGAGGCAGGTACTGACTGCTTTGAAAACAGGAAGTGGGAAGGGGAGCTGATTGGACAAGGAATGGACACCTGACCCATATCAACCAGTCAGCGTTGGCCCTGAGAGTCTGTGCCTGCTGGGGGCGGGGCGGAAGGGGGGGGTTGGTACCCAGAATTGGGAAGTTCCTAAAGTTATTGGCTAACACCCACTTTCCAGGGGCACGAGGGAGCTGGGGCTGTGTGCTCTGGCTCATTCTTCCATCCCTGCCTTTGGGGGTGGAGAAGCTCCTCATGGGCCCTTCAGAGCACATCCTTTTACAGCTCCCACTGGGATAAGGAGTTGGTATCCGCCCCCATGTGATGTCCCCAACTGTCCCTCTCTGCAGCCAGCTCCGTGGGAGGGCTCGCAGGCCTGGCTGGGAGGGCTGGCGTGGGATTTCGAGGCCACCTTCCCTTTCATCCTGACCAGCCTAACAAAAGCGGTGAAATCTCAACAGCTTGTTTCTTAACGTGTCACAGCGCCAAGCCGTGAAATACCTGGAAAGAAACCAAAGCAAGGCAAGGTCTTTGTTTCTGCTTTGTGTATGTGTGCGAGGCCATGCCCTGCTGTGCCCAGGGCTTACTCCTGGCTCGGTGCTCAGGGATCACTCCTGGCAGGACTCCAGGGAACAGATGGGGTGCGGGGTTGGAACCCGGGCTGGCAGTGTGTAAGGCCACGCCCTGTCTGCTGTGTGCTACCCAGCCCCTAGACACGGTCTTTGGAAGTGGGTGAGTTAGGGGACACGGCAGCCCCGCCACATGGCTCCACTGGCTCGGTGGGGCTGGCTTCCAGGAGGGCCAGAAGCTGCCACCCTCGAGGATGCTGTGTGCGTCTGGAAAGGGCAGAGCCAATGCATGGAGGCTGGAGTATTCAGCAAATCCTATTCTGGACTCTGGACTCTGAGGCCCAGGGGCAGTTCCTCAAACCTCTAGGAGGACCTATGTGAGGAGAGGGTCCTGAGGGGCAGCCAGGCCTGGTGCTGGCACACCCTGCACCTAGCCACTGCCGGCAGGTAAATGGGTGGGGGTGGGGGGGGGGGAGGGTGGGGTTTTGGGGAATAAAGATGCCGAGTCAGCAGCGCAGAAGCCGCCAGGGCGGGGAAGTCAGAAGTATCTGAGAGGCCAATCTTGAGCTCTTCGGAGATGGAGAAACTGAGACACACACAAGGAAGAGAGGAGCAGAGAGAGAGAGAGAGAGAGAGAGAGAGAGAGAGAGAGAGAGAGAGAGAGAGGGGTCAGGGGAAGATGGAAAGAGGCCAGGGCTGGGGGAAGGGCACTTGCCTTGCTTACGCCCTACCCAGGGTTTGATCCCCAGCATACTGTAAGGTATACCCAAGTGCACGGCCAGGAGTAACCCCTGAACATCATGGGGTATGGCCCCAAAACAAAAAGAATATGAAAGGAGGGGCCACAGAGAGTCCCCCAAGAACCACATACCCTGAGTAAGTCCTGAGTGCCGCTGGGCATGACCAAAATAAGGAGAAAAATTAAAAGAATATGAAAACCCATCGAGAATCCCGGGCTCTTCCAACTGAAGTGTCCCAGTGAGCCATCCAGGCAGCCCCAGGCAGACAGTCTGGGAAAAGCCCCTCGACGGAGCCAACTTTGAGGAGACGGAGGGTCAGTATCCCCTGACATGGGCGCTCCCGGCTCTCCCTCTGGAGAAGCCGTGTTCTCTCTTGAACACAAACCCCATGCTTTAATCTCTCCCCCTCTCCCCCTCTCTCTCCGGCTGGCTCCATCTCTCACTCTGGCTGGCTCTCTCCCTCTCCTTCCCTCTCTCCCTTTCCTCCCTCTCCTCCTCTCTCTGTCCTCCCCCCCCCCCCCAGCTCTCTCCCTCCCTCTCTCTTCTCCCGCCCTGGCTCTCTCCCTCTCCCAGCTTCATCCCCCCTCTCTCCTGTAAATAAAACTATTTTACTTCACTCTTTCTCTCCTGGAAATGCTCCCTGAAGGGAAGGTGATGACGCTGGGAAAACGGGGCAAGGGCGGGTGCAATTCCCCACTCCGGTCTGGGTGCCCCCAATGCCCGGGGCACGTGTGCCCCCAGGACACATGTAACCCTCAGACACACGGCCCCTGGGACACACGGAAGCCCTCAGACACGTGCGCCCCAGGAAAGTAGGTGACACCTGGTTCACACGTACCCCTGGACAACTGGCTCGAGTCTCGGCATGACTAGAAATGCTGAGAGCACACCTTGACACATGAAAAATGCCTTTTCCTACCCTGGGGTCAGCGAACTACTTATTTATATGACAAGGTGGCAGCCCTCTTCCCAGACCCTCCCCATTTAGGGGACCGGGCTGGAGACAGATCCTCTGCATCTGTCAGGATGGCAGTGGGTGCTGGGGGCGCTGAGCAACCCAGGGAGAGCAGGAGCCCGAGACTAGGGCAGCCCAGGCCCTTGGTGCCCACGGGCAGAGGGGCACGGGGACCCCTGCACAGGCAGTGTGGTGGGTCTGTGGCACCGGGTGCTGAGTGCAGGCATCAGCCAGCCAGTGTGGGGCAGCGGCCCTTCCCGCTGGGCTCTGTGGGACGCAGGTGGCCCCAGGGCTGCATGTGCTGGCGTGGGAGCCGCTGAGGTCTGGAAGGTGCAAACACGTGGCCAGCCGGAGAGTTTGGATCCTAGCGGGTGGGACCCCGGCGGCTCTGCTTCCTTCCCGGCAGCCAAATCTGAGAGCAAATACCCGGAAGCCCAGCCCTTGGGACCGCCCGGCAGGGCCCTGCGAGATAATCTACTGCAAAGTTCACACGGGCGTGTCTAAAACTCACCACCTCTGCCGTCAGCACTGGGCAGCGGACACTGCACACTGGGGACCGTGGGCCTGGCTAGGCCGGCCGGAGGGCCTGAGCGGAGGTGGCAGCCACCCCACAGCCTCGTCCTCACCCCTCCTCTGGGCCAGAATCAGTGCACTGCATCCTGGTGCTCACAAGCGCAGAGAAGCATGGAGGGGGCGGGTGGCGGCTGGGGGAATGCTCTGAGCGTAGGACAAGGCCCCGGTTCAATCCCTGCGACTGCCTGTCCCCAGGGCACCTCTGGTGTGGCTCCCCAGACAGAAGGTGTGGAGTCATCAGAGATGGGGGACACCAGCCAAGGTGGGGTCACGACCTCTGGATGTCCTGACACCCGGGACTCAGGGACACATCTTGCAGGCAGGGACCTGAGCATGGTGGCCAAGTGACCCCCCTCCCAGCTCACAGCCACCTCAGGACAGCACCAGGGAGACCCGAATCTGCTGGAGAACTCCAGGCACACGGGGCTTTGCGGCTGAAAACTCCAGGTTTCTCAGGGTTGGGGTGGACGACTGCCTTCCACCTCCCCATGATTCCGGAAGCCGGGGCAGCCCCGTCCATACCCCACCGCCACTCCGCTCATCTGCCAGCCCTGTCCCAGAGACTCAAAAGGGATGAACTCGCCGCAAACATTCCTCGGACCTCCGTACCGGGCCGAACTTGAGAGGGGAGGATCTGCGCCTGCCCCAGCGAAGTCCCCGCGGCTAAGCTGCCAGCAGGCCTCACAGGAAACCCCACTGCCTGGGGACTGAGCACTGCAGAGCCGAATCTGCCGGGAACTCCAGGTACACGGTCTCTGTGCCCACCCGCTCCCGAGCACCACGTGTCCGCCTGGTCCCAGGACTGGGTGGGGGTCTCCCCGTGAGAGGAGCCTCTCACTTTACAGGGGCGGCACCTCCAGGTCCCTGAGGCCAGCAGCTTCAAGCCCATCGGCGCCCGGGGCGCCTGCTCACCTCGGCCGGCTGGCTGGTCCTGCGACAGTCTCAGGTTAGAGTCCCTCCTGGAGCCGCCCCTCCTCCCGCTGGCCGGGGGCTCCCGGGGGGACGGCTGCTGAAAGATGAGGTCGAAGTCATCGCGGCTGCCCCGGGGCGGACCCCGCTGGGCTCTCTCGCCCGGGATGGTGGCGGCGGCCCAGCTGCTGGCCCGGCCCTGCTCCGGGCCGTCAGCGTCTGACAGCCCCGTCCCAGGACCTTTCCAGTCCAGAGGCTTCTCAGGGCTCAGCCACAGGGGCCTGGGCTTCCTGCCCGGGGCGGCGGGGGCAGCCTGCAGCCAGGACGGCGTCCTGCCCTGTGATTTCGAGGCTTTCCTGCCCATGAGGGTCTCCAGCTGCTGGGTCAGAGTCGGCTCGGGGCCGGGGGTGGCGCCCTCCCCAGGCGGGGCAGGGGCGGGGGCAGGGATGGCGGCGGCCATGCTGAACTCGCCCTCAGACTTGGACACGCCGGCCTTCATGCCATCGGGGGCATCCAGCTGGTCCCTGGCGACACTTGCTGGTGCCGCCTTTCCAGCCACTGCTGCTCCAGGGGATGGCGCGCCCCTGCCAGCCTCAGCCCCCTCTGTGCCGCCCAGCTCCTGGGCGTCTTCACCATCTTCACCCAGGCCTGGCCTGGCCTGGCCTGGCCTCTTCAGGCTGACCAGGATGCTCTGCCCGGCTGGGGCCTCGCCCGCCCCCTTGTCTAACTGGCCGTCGAAGACGAGACTTTCGTTGACATAGAGTTTCACGCTCTTGGCACCGACATCGAGATCCTGAAATCACACAGTGCAGCTGAGTGAAGATGAAGAAATGGGATTGGGGGGGGGTTACCTGCCACAGAGATAGGTGTGGAGGCGGCGGGGGGGGGCAGGGGGAGGGTGGGAGAGGTGGCAGGAGCGAAACTGAGGACACTGGTGCTGGGAAATGTGCACTGGTGGAGGGATGGGTGTTGAAACATTGTATGACTGAAACCCCATGGCAACAACCTTGTAACTGTATCTCACTGTGATTCAGGGAAAAATAAAACACAAAAACACTGTCCTCACGTTGTTCATGGATTTGCTCCAGCGGGCCCAGTAACGTCTCCACTGTGAGACTTGTTACTGTTTGGCATATGGAATACCGACGGGTAGCTTGCCGGCGCTCCCAGAGGGGAGGAGGAATCGAACCCGGCTCGGCTGGTCTGGCTGCCCGCAAGGCAAATGCCCTACCGCTGTGCTATGGCTCCAGAAAGTGGGTCCCACTGCTATTTCCCAGCCGACCCCAGTACCCACTTTGCTTGCAGCTGACTTTGCTCCTGGTGTTTCCTCCCCCCCCCCCCCAACTTCCCCGCAAACTTCCCCCTGGCCGCTGCTTCCCGGGGAGGGGTGTGGCCATGCCTCTGGGCCCCCACGTTGCCCCTCGGGGCACAGGTACTGAAGGCTTCACCCCTGGGGTCTGCGAGGGGGTGACTCACCCCATCGGCTGTCCAGTAGTTCCACACCTTGATCTTGGCCAGACGGAAGCTGGGCAGCTGCAGCGTATTACGGAGGATGAAGAAGAGCTGGAGGGGCGGCTGGAAGGGGCACAGCCACGGGGAGGACGTGCTCCTGCCCTGCGGGGCGGGGTGGTGGTGGTTAGGGCCCGTCCGTGCTCCCCAGAGCACTCAGGGGACTCTGACAGGTGCCCCAGCGGCTGGGCAGGGAGCCAGGCCATGGCACCTGCCACCCACTCGCCATCCGCCTGGACCACACCTTAAGAGGGGCCCGGGCACTGACGCTTGTCCCTGGCACACGTGACCTCTGTCCACTGGTGTCCCCCAGACCCACCCTCGAGACTGTATTTGAAACGTGGTGGGGGCTAATGGCCTCGAGGGGGTGCAGGGCCAGCGCTGGGATGGATGGGGAGAGGTGGGCGGGAGGGCGAGGAGACTTGCCTTGGCCCCACGGCCCCTGCGGAACGGAAATGCTTTCAAGCAGAGAACCGGGAGTCTGGCTGCGGCAGTGACTGGGCGGGGCTGTGGCCGCGCCCTGGGCCCCACTGTCCCCACTCAGAGTCTCCAAGCCTCATGCGGACCCCTCGGGCAGCCACCAACCTGGACCCCGCCTTGCAGCCAACCCATCACCCCAGGACCCTCCTCCTGTGGTGGCCCGCAGCTGCTGGGAGATCCTGCCAAGGGCATTGCAGACCCTCACTCCCCCTTTCCTTGAGGCTCTTGTGCCCTCCCCTAGGTGCCTGGGGGCCAGCATCCCCCAAACCCCCAGTGGCCCGCAGTGACCCATCTCCAGCCCCGGCTGGCCCCCCCCACCCCAGGGCCCACGCTCCCAGCACACGCCAGGCGTGCCAGGGGGTGCACAAACCAGCCCCCAGCCCCAGAGGCGATCCTCGCCCCACAATGTCTTGCCAGGAGCCCTGAGGGGATCTGGCCACGGCAGCGCTGTTTGGCTCGTGAATTGTTGACAACGAGAAAAGCACATTTGCTGCCAGCTCTCTGCGCCCGGCCCCCCATTTCTGAGACGTGGAGGTTGAGCCGCTGGGCCCCCCACCCCATGGTCCCGCCCTCGGGACTGCCTGCACCCTCTCTCCCCTCCCCTCGCCTCTACAGCCCCCAGGCTGGTTGGGGGTGGGGGTGGGGGCCTGCTCAGGCACTGAGCAGAGGTGCCGGCCCAAGCCAGTGAGCCACGGGCGGCCACCTCGGGGGCCTGCTCGGGACAGAGGCGGGGGGCGGGGGCTGGCTGAGCTGGGGGCTTGCTGGCCCCCAGGAGAGGCACGGCCCAGGCTCCAGCTGCGGGGAGGACAAAGGTGGCTTGTTCTGGGGACAACGGTGCCTTTCAGGGGGCAGGGGGCCGCCTTTGTTCAGCGGGGGAGACGAGTTCAAGGGGTTCCGCCTCATTCCGGCCAGTTCCTCGGGCTCATAAGAACGAGCCGTGCTCTGGGCAGCGGGGTCAGGTTCTCCCGGCTCCGAGGCCAGCAGACACTCTTGCTCCCAGCCCTGCCAGGGCCCAAGCCAGGTCGTGGGGGCTACAATCCATTTCCTGCAGCGCTGCTGCAGGCAGGCGGGTCCCGGGAAGGCCCAGTGGGCATCGGTGGTCCTAGACAAAGAACAGGGACCCGCAGTGACAGGGCCTCATCTGCACCTCCTAAGTCCCCTTCCCTCTGTCCGTCTCCCAGAGGATGCTCCACGGGGAGTCCCGGAGGCCAGCAACACACGCGCTGGGCAAATGGGCAGGGGCCAGGGAGACAGAAGAGGAGCTGGGGCCCTCTGACGCTGCTCAGCTGACTCCTGGGGCCCTGGACACTGTGCTTGGCCCACTCCTGGGCCCTGGACACTGTGCTCAGCCATTCCGGGACCATGGACACCATGCATGGCCACTCCTGGGCCCTGGACACTGTGCCCAGCCACTCCCTGAGCCCTGAACACTGTGCTCGGTCACTACCTGGGCCCTGGACACTGTGCTCGGCCACTCCTGGGCCCTGGACACTGTGCCCAGACACTCCTGGGCCCTGGACACTGTGCTCAGCAATTCCAGGACCCTGGACATCATGCTTGGCCACTCCTGGGCCCTGGACACTGTGCTCGGTCACTCCCTAGGCACCGGACACTGTGCTCAGCCACTCCCGGGACCCCGAGGCGCCGGGCCTGGCTGACTCCCATCGGGCATGGCCATGCCAGGCCCCGAGAGGCTGCCCTCTGTGTTCCAGCCACAGCCTAGTTGTGCTGGAGTCCCCGCAGAAACAGAAGCCAAGGCCAGTTGCCAGGTGCCCGCGGAGACAGGGAAATGAGGGGGGAGTATGTCCCAGTGTTACCACAAAAAGCTTGAGCCTTTGGGATTTTGGTGCCCATTGGGATGGTGCGAGTCCGTGGCACCCGCCCAGAGCGACCCCTGTGAGGTATCCGGGCCCTGATTCCACCACCCACGGTGGCTGGGGGCTTCCCTGGGGCTCCCCCTCCTCCATCCTCACAGGGGCTGCCACCAGGGAACTGGGGGGCCAGAGCCGTGGGGTGGAGGGGAGGCCCAGGGTGCGCGCGGGAGGGTGCAGGGGGGACGCAGGCATCTACGGCCACGGTGGTGGTGGGGGGCAGCCTGGCCCGGCGGGTGTGAGGAGGCGAGAGGATCCCGAGGGAGCTGGCATGAGGTGTTGGTGGACGGATGGACGGGCCGTGACTGAGCACGCACATGGACGCGGCCTGGCTCAGCCGTGGGTCACCTGCGGGCACCTGTCCTAGGGCTGCCTTCGAGGCTGGGCCCCACTGCAGCCTGGGCTGCCTTGCCCTGCAGGGAGAAGGCTCCAAGGTGAGAGGGAGCCTGTGGACAGAGGCCTCCACCTTCTGGTTCTCAGGCTACCTTCAGCATTGCACGTTTCCGTTCGCCGTTCTCCAGCGTGTGTGCTGGGGCGTGGGAATGCCAGGTGGCCAGGTCGTCCTCCACGCAGCCTTCTGAGGACCCGGCAGGTTTCCCCAAGCCGCTGCGAGGCCCCGGGAGCCCCCATTTCTCCACAAGCTCCCAATGCCAGTTTCCATTTTCTCCTTGTTTTGGCTTCGAGCCATACCGGGGATGCTCAGGGCTGACTCCTGGCCGGGCTTGGGGGAACCTTACGGGGTCCCCAGATCCAGCCCAGGTTGGCCATATGCAAGGCAGGTGCCGGTCCCTGCTGTGTTGTCGCTCCAGCCCCTTTCCCTGAGAACGACAGACATTCTAGCGGGTGTGGTTGCTGGCGGACTGATTTGCTTTTTCTGAGTGACAAATGATGTTGAGTATCTCCTCCCATGCTTGGACACTGGAGTATCTTGTTCATTTGTGTGTCTTCTTTGGAGAAAGAGCTGTCAAAAGTACTTTAGTTTTTGAACATGAGGGCCTTTGCCTTTTTGTTACTGAGTTTCCCTCTCTCTCTCTCTCTCTCTCCTTTCTTTCTAGTTTATGGTTTCCTGCATAAACCATCCCAGCGCCAACCCCCACTAATGTCCATTTCCCTCCATCATTGTACCAGTGTCCCCCCACATCCCATCCACGCCCCATTTCCCCTGTGGTACCTTGCTACGGAAGACCAGTTCTCAGTTTCTGCTGCCTTTGGGCATCTGTTAAACAGTTCATTTATTCCTTATTTTCTTTTGATTTGATTACTGGGAAGGGACACCCAATAGTGTGTGGGGGCTATTCCCGGCTCTGTGCTTTAGGGATCCCACCTGGCCATGTTTAGGAGACCGTCGTGTAGTGCTCAGGACAAACCTGAGGCTCCCACATGCAAAGCCTGCACTTGGCCTTTGAGCTCTCTGCCCCTCCCCCCCGCCCCAAGTTCTCGTCTTTATAGGATACTGAACCCTTATCAAGTACATAATTTGCAAATATTTTCTAGCATTGTTTTCTTTTCACTGTTCTTGATAGTGTCCTCTAAAGCGAAAACAAACAAACAAACAACAACAACAACAAAAAACCTTGTTCAATTTTTGTTGAAGTCTGATTTGCTGATTTTATCTTGTGTTGCTCATACTTTGGGTGTCCTAAGATTCCTCTGACAAATCCAGGGTATGAAGATGACACTTTTTGTGTGTGTATTATGTTCTTTGATCATGAATTCAAAGAAGGACCTGCTATAGTTCAACGCAGATTTTCCATCTCTCCAGAGTTATTTTTGAATTTTTTGGGGGGAGATCACACCCGGCGATGCTCAAGGGTTACTCCTGGCTCTGCACTCAGGAACTAATCTTGGCAGTGCTTGGGGGGCCATATGGGATGCCAGGGACGGAACCTGGGTGGCTGCGTGCAAGGAAAACGCCCTACCCGCTGTACTATGACTCCAGGAGTTATTTTTGGCAATCTGTCCATTTCAAGCAGGACGTGGGGTTAGTTGGTTCGGCTGTCTGTGGCCCTCGGACCCTTCTGGTGTGTGCCCTGTGGACGTGCCCTTCTAGTCCCTTCAGTCACTAGGATCTTCTTTCCTCTCTTTCTCTTCCTGTCCACCGAGTGGCTTGTTCGCTTCGCTAGTCCTTCCTGGAAGCAGCTTGTGGCGTCACGGGCTTTCCTTTGGTGTTCCATCCTCCTTACTGGTTTAGGACAAAGTAGGGTAACAATTTCCTGTCGACTTATAATTGTTTCCAAATTAGAAGTTCCTAAGAACATGTTGCACTCCTTGTTTGGGGACCCGGCGGTGGCTGTGCCCGGCGATGGAAGACTTTGTGAGGGGGAAGTGGGCAGGCAGTGTGAGCACTGGAGGGCAAGCCCATGCTGGACAAGCCCAGCAGAGAGCCAGGGCGAGAAGCTACCAACGACGCACCAGCCGGGCTACCCACACATCCTGCCCCTCTCCCACCAGAGCAGACAAGCCCACGGGCCGTGGCCAGGCTTTGCGCAGGGGACATGGGAAGTGAGGGCTCCTGCCACGAAGCCCTAAAAAGCTGCTAACATGGGACCAATGCCCCGGCACCGAGGGGAGGGCGCTGGCCTTACAGCTGGGGTTCCCATAAGCCTGCCAGGAGTGACCCCTGAGCGCAGGACCAGGGCCACTAAGTGTGGCCTCCGCTGAGCGTGGCCTTCCCCTCCCCCGTCTCAATGCTGCTAGGGGACCAGGCTCTGTATCTGCTGCTGTTTTCACAGCAGGGTGACTCCTCGCCCCACGCCAGCTCAGACTCAGGTCAGGGGGAGGCCGCAACATCGTCATCAGTGCGGGTTCCTCCCCTTTAGAATGGGGAGGGTCCAGTGCTCTCTGTCCCAGGGAGCCCACGCTCCGAGGAGCCACGAGAGTAAAAACGGCTGATTCTGCAGCCCTCAGGAGAAGCCAGCACCACACTCTCCCTGGACGCGGGCAGCGGAGGCCAGATGCACGGGAGCTGGGCTGACCCTTGGCTGAGCCACTGGTCAGGTGCGAGCGCCAGATGCTCTCGGGCCTGTGTGAGGGGCGGGGTCGGGCTGGGCTCAGAGGACCTGTCTGACGGGCCACGGGCCACAGGAATGGCGAACTCGTGAGAGGACACTCAGAAGCAGCAGGGGGAGGAGTGAGTGGGGTGTGATGGGAAGTCTCCTTGCGGCCTGGCCTGGTTCTGCTGCGCCCAGAGTGGCCACGCGTGAACGGTGCGGCGGAGCGGCCCCGGGGAGCTCAGGTCTCTGTTTGGCTAAGGGAAGGGGCACTCAGCAGGGTGCGGATTGTGGGTCCTGGGCCAGGCTGCGGGTCATGCACTGGGCTCTGAGCTTCCGGCCAGTGACCCGGAGCCAGCCACGCTCCGGGCAGTGCCAACCAGGGGAGAAGCCACCACTGCGGGCCGGGAAGCCTGGCAGAGTAGGAGCCGGGCAGGGCTCAGGGGTGGTCCCTCCCCCCGCCCGCACTCGTCCATCCTGGACGAGACATCCCAGCACACTCACCGCATCATTCCCGGCGGAGTGCCGACTGACCAGCTGGCCCAGGTCCCCGGGCGCGTCCGTGTTCCGGATGTCCACGTCGTGAGGGGACACGTAGAGCTTCGTGTCGCTCTGGTCGAAGAACTCGACCTCCAGGAGCCCCACCCAGGTGGGGTGGCCCCAGTTGGACAGGATCTCCATGGTCACGTAGATGGCGTCCGGTCTCCCGGGGCCCTGGGCCGGAGGGGAGCAGGCCAGTGGTCAGCAGGGACCAGAACACTGAGGAATCCCGGGCTCACACGGCTCCTGCCTTCTTGGCTTCCTGCTCTTTCCCCCGAGGACACAGAAGGACCAGGCCTGCCTGCATACACTCCCGCGTCACTCCAACCAGAGGCTGCACAGGTGCGGTGCTGTATTGGCACCGGGGGCGGCTCCCTGCTGACTGGGCCCCGGGTACGGGCTGCATTGGGAAGCCGTGACCGGACGGCCTGAGAAAGTGACATCTGCAGGAAGGCCTTTAGGAGCCAGCGAGCTCTGTGTGCGTGCGTGCGTGCGTGTGTGTGTGTGTGTGTGTGTGTGTGTGTATTGGGGGGGTTGACCCACCCCGCCCCCAAGAAGGACGGGAAGGATGTTCCCGGTACAAGACCCAGCAGAGGCCTTGTGACAGCCTCTGTGCCCACCCCCTGGACCTGAACTCCAGCTTCTAGGACTGAGAAAGAAACCCCCAGGGTGTCCAGGTCCTGACCGCCTGCCCCGCTGGGTTCTGTCCACTCAGGCCAGCTCCCCATGACGACCCCCAGATGCTCTTTGCTCTGTCGGGCAGCAGGTGCGGACAGTGTCCTGCATGGGGGCCCGGCCCAGTGCACGCGTCCACTCACTCCCTGACTCTCCCTGGCCACGTCTCGAGCTGCCTGATCCTCAGGCCGCCAGCAAATGGGTGCTCCAGGATCCCGGCCTGCACTGCCGACTCTCCCTGGGAACCCTGATCTCCCCTGGGGGGGGGTCGCCTCTCAGCCAGGACATATAGGGGGCTCCCCCTTCCCCAGGAAGGAAGGGGAGGGGCCGGACACGAGATCCCACCTCCGTCTGGGCCCTGGGGGCTGCAAATCAGACTTCTGAGCCAGGACTCTCAGGGTTGCAGCCCCTCTTGGGGGCCCACGTCTTTCTGGGGGGCCTTTGGCAGCCCTATGTTAGGGCCTCAATGACCAGAAGACAGACTGGTGACCACAGCACCAAGTAAGTGCTGCGCGACTCAGTGACCAGGGGTGGGGGGAGGGAGACCCCCCCCATTACCCACAGCCCAGGGCAGCACCCACTGCCCACACGGCATGGTCCTGGCAGCCACGGGCCCCCGGTCCTCTCTACCTGACTCTGGCTGCTGCCCATGTGCTGGGCATTCCTGGGGGACTCTGCCGGGGGTGCTTGTCCCATCTGTGGTGCCGCTTCCCCTGGTCCCAGGGACCCTTCAGGGGACGGTCTGGTGCCCCTGGCCCTCCTGTCCCACTGCTGGTCTCCCGCCGCTGGGCAGTGGGATGGGGAGGCCGGCACCAGATCCCAAGGTAGGTTTCGCCCCAGCCTCACGCTGCCCTTGCCGGTGCCCGAGGTCATCGCCAGAGAGTCGGCTCACTCAGACGTCAGGTGGGACGCAGAGGCTGCTCTGATCTGCATTTCTTGATTACCCGCGAACCTGGGCATTTTCCTATGGGCTCAGGCGCTATTTATACCTCCCGTGGCGTGGACAGGTTTCTCGCCGCCTCGCTGCGCAGCAGGAACGCCTGTGTGTCAGGAAGGCGGGCAGACAGGGCGGGCGCGGCGGGGGACGAGGATGGTGGGCACGCAGCCCCTCGGGAAGGCGTCTGACGGCCCGGGTGGGCGGGGCCGGGCACTTGGAGGGACTCATGCCCAGGCAGAAACCTGAGGGCCGCGGTTCTCACCTCTGGGTCCCTCACGGGCTCCTCGGGGGGTGACACCAGCTGGCCCAGGTGGGCAGGGTCACTCTCGATGGCCTGGAGCACTCTGAGAAGCTTCTGCTGCTGTCTGCAAGGGGGGTCTGGGTCTGAGCCGACAGGGAGGGGCGCCCACCCCGCACCCAACCCCCACAGCACAACTGGGCAGAGGCAGGCAGAGGAAGCGGCCAGCAGCACAGGGGCCTGGGGACCTCTGATGGCCCCCTGGTGACCTCCCAGAGTCTCGGCAGGGAGACTGGGCTCTGAAACCCGAGGGTCACACGCAGCCCACGGTCAGTCTCCAGGCGGCCTCAGGCCCAAGGACGGTTTCCACGGTTAGAAAGGAAGGTGAGAGGGCAAAGGGCAGGGCTGGCCACCAGACCCTCGGGCACCAGCGGAAGGGGTCGGCACAGGTCTCCCAGGTCCACAGGCCACTGTCCCTACGTGCACCCCACACGTGCCTGCCTGAGGCTGAGGACCCCCGGGTCCTGAGACACGCACGAGGAGTCTTGGTGATGAAGGCGCAGCACCGGGGCAGAGAAAGCATTGTCTCACTCTCCTGGCCAGGCCACCGCGGTCAGCCACTCCCAGCTACTCCTGGCCACTTCCGGCCACCCCCAGCCACTTCCCAGCCACTTCCTGGCCACTCCCAGCTACTTCCCAGCCACTTCCCAGCCTGTCTGTTTTCTGGTCTGCAAATCTGTGGACTCAGAGAGGCCGACACTGCCTTTAGCCGTTTGGAGGTTTTCTACACATTCTATGCAAGAAGGTCTGGATGGGGCATGGCGTGGCGTGGACACTGTCCCGGCTTTCTTTGGACGAGCGAGAAAAAGTCCCTTTGCCCTTACTCAGCTGCTGCAGCCCTGGCTGGGGTGGGGGGAGGGGAGGAGAGGTCTCAGGAAAGGGGCTGGCACGTGGGCTGGGGGCACCGACTTCACACGAACCCCAATGGACACAGCCCTGACCAGTGTCCGGGGGAGCTTGGCCAGGCGCCGCTGCAGGCTGGAAACTCGAGGCTCAACCTCCACATCTGCGAGATCAGCAGTTCCCGAAGGCTGGGGGCCAAGCCTTCTGAATAAAACTCGGGGGTCTCTAACACCCGGTGGGATGTGAGTGGGACAGAAGGCTGCGTCTGAACCAGCTCTTGTCGAGAAAAGAAGGTTCAAAGGATGCTCCTTGGAACCCTGTCCCTGAACAGCCGGGAACACATTTGCCACCATCTGCTGAGAGGGAAGGAGCGGTAACCTTGGAGAAGGTTGGAAGGAACTGAACAAGCAAAGAGGCATTTGCCTGAGAGGAAACGAGTTGGATTTGCATTCTGGGGGGTGGGGAGGGGAGCGCGTGGGGCGGGGGTGGAAAATGGTCTGCAGCACGTGGGGTGGAGCAGAGCAGAGCCCCGTGCTGCAAGGACGTGGGGCGGGGGCCGCGCTAGACGCAGCGGGGCTCCGTACCTGCTTTCCAACCGGCCGGCCCTGTCCACGGCCTTGCCGACAGCCTGGGCGCCCCCTGCCGCCTTGGCCGGCTCCTGCGGGCTGGTGGCCGAGGGCACTGCGGGAAGCCACTGAGGAGGAGAAAGGCTGATCAGGTGCGGGAAGTCGGGGGCAGCAGGGAGCGGTCAGCCCGGCAGCGCGGGCATCCCCTGGGGTCTGGGCAGGGAGAAGGGGTCTCAGCTTCACAGGGCCAGGGAGGGGGCCTGTCCCCGGAAACCATCTATCTCTCTGAGGAGCTACGGGAAATCCTCTCTCGTGGAACCCTCTGCCACTCTCCCCAGAACCCCGTTCCGTGGGTCATAGGTGACAGGGGCCCCCCGCAGCACCCTGGGAGCGCCAATGGGCTCTTTGCTGCTAGAATCCTCCAAGCCTTTCCCCCCTTCCTTCTTCATTTAGCGGGAAACGGGCTTCTTACAACACGCTCTCTGCCATGGGCAGTGCTGGGGGCAGGGACTGGGCCAAGCAGGCAGTGCAGAAAAGGCCTGTTGGCTGGCCAAACAGCCGGATGGACAGACTGCGGACCAGGGGACAACAGGGATGGGTAGCACGGAGCCGCTAACTGATGGGGAGCGACGAGCACCCCCCGCCCCGGCCCGTGCTCTTCCCCCACAGCCCCTCCCAAACTTCCTCCTGCTCTCGGCCATGGATCTTGAAGCTTATTAGCTGCTCCTTCCCCAAAAGGGTGCTCCCAGGGGGCTCCCAACTGGCCACGTCTCATCATCCGTGCTCGCCTTGGGGCAGGCCCACCCTCTCTCTGCAGGCCTGAAGCTTGCTGGAGGTGCGGGGTGCTGGCTCCCAGCAGGCTCCCCAAGCCCTGGAGCCTGTGGGCCCATTCCTGTGCATGGCCTTGGCCTGGGGCGTGTGGGCTGTCTTCATGCAGGGCCCGGGGCTAGGGCATGTCCTGTGCATGGCCCTGGCCTGTGCATGGACATTCTGGCCTTCCAGGGCCCAGTGAGCCTCCCTGCTGGGCCCGACCTGCTGAGGAGGATGAAGCATCACTTCCTTCCCCAGGGCGCTGGCACGCTGTCTCGAGGGGACATGGGACTTGGCCCCGGGGGTGCTGGCAACTGCATGTCACCGGGCCTGAGTCACACAGCCTAGGTTCCCCCGCCTGCCCCTCCCCCACCCCCCCGGCCAAGGACCCCGGGCCTTAGGGGGAAAACGCTCTGCAGACGCGCTGCGGAGAGCAAGCGAGGGGCTGTGCGGACCCCTCGGGCCGTTACCCACCTCGCCCATCTCTCCCTTGTCCATTTGCAGACCACTCCACGGGCGGGCAGCAGGTCCGTCTGCAGCCTGCAATGAGATCACAGTGGCCCAGGCATGCTCCTCCCCGCAGACAGAGCCCAGGGGCAGATGGGGCTCAGGGCAGCCCCGCCACTGAGGCTGGAAGAGGCTGGCGGGGGCGGGTGGTGGAGGAGTGGGGGGGGGGATGACAGGTGTGGGCACCACCCCAGGGGGCACCATTGGAATGTGGCATCTCTCCCAGCTCTGTCCAGACCCACCTGTCTGCGGGAAGCTGTGAGCTGCATGGGGAGGGGAAGGGCTTAGGGGGGCGCCAGGGAGCCCCCTCTTGAGAAAGGGCAAGAGCTCTGCCCACGACTCGCCCTTCAGCCTCTCTGGGCAGCTCAGGGCTCCAGGGGAGGGCGGGGGCAACCCACTATAGGGAAGTTTCTAGAACACTGCAGGGGACGGTGGGGGCAGACCCCTGCCTGCAGGGAGGCATCCGGAATGGGGAAGCCGACCGGGGACAGTGAGTGCCACAGAGGCCCAAAGGAGTCCGGCTGGGAGGGAAGAGGGAAGAGATCAGAGCACCTGCTCGCTGGGCTGTAGCCCTGGGGGCTGGTGCCCGGGAAGGTCTCCGCATCCCTGACCCTGGCGGGCTGTGACACGGCTGCGTGGCGCTCACCTGTGCGTGCTGTGGGCTAGCCTTCCTGCCCCGCAGCGCCTCCTGTAGCGCTTCATTCTCCACCTGGATGGCCCTGAGCACCGCCGAGGCATCCTCCTCCCGGTCCTCCGCCGCCAGCACGGGCTTTCGGGTGGCTGAGAGGGGTCTCTCCCACCGGCTTCCGGGTCCTGGGCAAGGGGGTGGGGGGGGGGGGCTGAGATGGATTTTTGGGAAGCAGCACGGAAGCCGCCGCAGGCCTAAGCTGAAGAACCTTCTCTGAGATCAACTGGCCTGAATTCTCCAGAGAAGCCGAGGTCATCGCAGGTGAAGGGCGGCAGGGAAGGTTCCGGAGGAAAGGAGCCCGACCCCTGCGGTGACACAGCAGGCCCCAGCTCAGCCCCCAGCTCAGGGCCTAGGGCCTGATGGAGGAAGGCAAGTAGGGGAGTTCCCGCCCTCCGGGCAACGGCAACACATTTCCTGGGAAACAGTGATATCAGTCACCCTGAAGTTGCAAAAAGCCAACTTTGCAGAAAACAGGAACTAAAGCCTCCGAAGACTTTCACCTGGACAGCAACAGTCCCCCGAGAAGGCAGGACCCCCACTCCGACAGAAGCGCCAGGAGAAACAGAAGGCCAGGAAAGGAACTGCAAAGACCATCACCACCCCCAACCCTGCCCCCCTTGGCAACCTCCTTAGCAACGGACTTTTACTTAGGTACAAGCCCCACGTGGGGGCGGCTCGGAAAAACCCTATAAAGGCCACCTTGAACAAAGCAGGGCGCGCAGATGCTGCCCGAGCCCATGTGCTGCTTGCGCCCACGTGGCCGAGAACACGCGGTGCCTGAGCACATGTCGCCTGCATCTCCCCTCTGAGATGTGGACTTGCCTATCTAACGTTGGGGTGTGTGTAGGGGCTCTCTCCGCCCTTGGAGAAGCTGAGCTCTCCCCTGAGGCCTTACTCTCCCACTTTTTCTCCCTCCTTCCCCTTCCTAAAAACCTCCAAATAAAATCTGCTTTTACTTCACTGCCCGTCTGTTCCTGAAATTCTTTTCTGCGAGGCAAGACAAGAACCAGTAACCCTGGGCCCTGGGGAGGCAGAGGTGGATTGGGAGGAAGTGACCCTTCTCCCCACTTCACCTAAGCCACCGTGGGGCCCACCGACATGGGACCCTGTGGCCACCACGCCCAGCAGATATCCTCGGTCTGAGGAAATCCAGTGGGGGCAAGGGCGAGGCCCCCAGTTCCTGGCCTCCAGTCACGAGACCTTCTGTGCCACAACCGGGAGCGTCCAGAGAAAGGGACAGCAAAAACACCAAGTACTTTGAGGTTTGAATCTCATGAGTGAAGAGACAGGGACAGGTCCCAGGACCTGGGGCCACGCACCGCGGGCTCAGCTCCCAGCAACCCTCAGTTCCTGCCCGGTAAGTTCCTGAGGCCGCCAGCACCACGGGGGGTTCGGGCTTTGGGGGTCAGGGGGTCGGGGGCCAGGGGGCCAGGAGTCGGGGGGCTGGGGGTCGGGCCTGGGCAGGAGTGCATCTTCCCCTCTTGCCAGGAGCCCTGGTTTGGCTGAGACTCGCCGGCGGGCGCCCTGGCCTGAGCACCAGTGGGACCCTCAAATAAAATCAAATTTAAAGACCCCTTAAAAGCTGTCAAAGGATGTGATGTGCTAGAGCACCCAGCGAGACAGCTGCAGAGACTCCGGCATGCCCGCCAGGCAGGGCACTACGCAGGCCTGGAGAGAAAGGCTCACCCCGACAGCAGTGGGCGGGTTCATGCCCGGGACATGGGTGGGCAGGGGGAGACGGCTGAGGGGGCGAGCAGCACCCTCGGGGGCTTGTGTTTGCTTCTTCCCATACACGGAAAAACCCTTCATTTCCCACAAAACTGCTCAAAGCCAGGAGGATCTCACCTAGTGAGCGGTATCCCCTTGGCAAACAGGGACCGCGAGCCCCTCGCCAGTCTCTGCTCTCCACGTGGGCAGAGTGACCAGAGACCTGGGCTGCACCGGGTGAAGACACAGTGGACAGGACTCAGGGCAGCAGGGGTTAAGAGGGCAGGAGGGGGATGCGGGTGCAGGGGGCTGCGCGGGCTTGGCAGAGGCCTGGGGGCAGGGGAGGGACGGGGAGGAACATAGGAGAGAGGACGTGTGGGCAGCAGAGGCCTGGGAGAGGGGAGAGGGCAGTGGGCTGGGGGCAGCACAGGTCTGGCTGGACTAAGGCTCAGCGGGGTGCGATGAGCAATGCAAGGCCAGGGAGTGTCCAACGGCTGCTCCTCTCAGTGCTTGGGGGGGCAGGATCTGACCAGTGTGGGCACCCGGAAAAGACAGAAGTGGGGCAATGCCTGGGCGAGGGCAGAGAGAGATGGCGGGGACTGCCCAGGTGAGGGAGGCAGATGGCGGGGGCAGTGCCCAGGTAAGGGGAGACAGAATGTGGAGGCAGTGCCCAGGTAAGAGCAATGCCATGGTTCGGGTGGGACATAGGCCGTGGTCAGTCTGGCAGGAAACAGGGTGAGAGAAAGGGGTCCTGAGAATGACTTCTGGGATTCTGGCCCCTGAGGAAGTGGATCCCACCTCAAGGAAGTGTATCCCACCCGAGATCCCCGCTGAGAGTGAGGGGCTGCAGGCTGAGCAGGTGTGCACACAAGCCTCGCAGCTGTGTGGGTTGGGGCAGGCAAGTGCACATGTACACACACACACACACACACACACACATACACAGCACACAGGCGTATACATATACATATACACACGGGCATACACACATACACACAAGGGCATACACATATATACGCACACACATAGAGACACAGCGTACATCTATACATACACACACGAGCATACATGTATACACGCACACACGCACATACACATAAGCACACTGTGAGGTTTGGGGATGACGAGGTCCACATGAGAAGTCAGTGTGGGGACCCCTGTCACCCCATGGGCTGGTCTGTGGGCGCCCCCAGCTCTGTGCCCACCCACCCTGGTGCAAGGCCTGCTGGGGACCCTGTGAGCCTGCACCTCAGCTGCACAACGGCCCTTCCTGCCTCTGCTCCCATTACAGTGCTCCTTCAGAATGAGCTGTGAGTCGCTGCACCAAGCACGCCTAGGTGGGAGTGAAGGAAACGGACTCAGCCGCCCTCCAGTGAGGCCACACAGGGGCTAGATGGAGACCGGGAGACTGGGCTAAAGCCAGGGTCTCAGGAGAGGGCTGAGAGGTGGCCCTGAGTCGGGGGCGAGCAGGGAAACTGCCCGTGTGCCCCGTGCCGTGCCACTTGGCCACCGAGTGCGCCAACCCCAGCAGCAGCACCGATGGGGAAGGAAAAAAAAAAAGGAAAAAAAAAAAAGGAAAGGAATGTGCAAGAAGAAACGTCCAAACAGGTCGTGGAGAGGCACAAGGGAAAGGGGCGGGTGGGAAGGAGAAGGAACAACGGGGGCCCACGTGAGGGAAGTGCCCCCCACCCTGCACCCCGCTCCAACTCCACAAGCAGCTGTCGGCCTCGAGACGGAGCAGAGAGAGCCACCGAGTCAGGGCGACAGGTGGCTGGGCACGGCCAGGCGCTCGGACACAGGAAGGTTAACTGTGCGGAAGAAGACGCCGACGAATACGGGCTGCAGAGAAGAAGGATGATGATGTCACAAGGGAGAATGGAAACGCTCAGTGGTAATCGCGCTGGGGCCGGGAGGGGGCCAGCGGCGTCGGCAGCGTGGGGCTGCACGGCCCCTCCGCCAATTGAGAAGCCGCAAACATGCTCATTTAAAACGGAGCCACTAATAAGTCAAGAACGCATTCCGCAATCTCTGGTAATGAGTAAAGGAATAATGAGAGAATATATAACTAACTAGCTAATGGGGGGGGGGGTGGAGAAGAAGAATATAAAGCAATCAGTCCGAAGGGGGGCCGGGAAGGAGAGAGGGAGGAACATAAAACAGGCAGCACGCATAAAAAGCAAACAACACGAGCGTAGATTTAAACTCAAATAGATCAGCAATTACATTAAACGTAAATGGACTAAATGTGACCATTAAAACACAGAGATTGTTAAGAGGATAAAAATAAAACCCAATTACAGGCTGCTTACCCGATAACAAACAAACAGACCAAGGGAAAATAAAAAAAAAGCAAGGAGGCCAGGAGTATCAAAGAGGAAGCGGGGAGATGGCAGCCGGGAGCAGGAGCCAACGGAAAGGAGGCAGCGACGGGGCAGGGCCCAGCGCGGCCGTGCCAGGCTCGGTTCACGGGCAGAGACAGGGCGGCTGGCTCTCGGGGGACCCCAGTCACGCAACCGGGGAGCATCTCTGCCCCGGGTCCCCCCGAGGTGGGGGGGGGCGCCTCGGTGCAGCATCCCAGCAGGGCTGAGGTTCAGACTCGGCACGTTTCTGGTGCTGGGAAACGCGTTCCCCCAAGATGATGGTCAGCGGCTGAGGCCAGGAGGAAGGCTGCTCTCGATGCCCGGTCAGGGGCTCTGCCCAGCTGCGCTTCTGCAACCCGAAGAGGCCCGACCCTAGGCAACTCGTGGCTGTGCTGAGGCTCTCTGGGACCCGGCTTCAGGGAGAGAAGGCGGCGGCGAGGCGAAGGCTTGCAACCTTCCTCGCTGCCTCATGTGGGGGAGCCGGTATTGGATGGCTGGCCGCTGACCTCGGCGGGACTGACTTCGGGGAAGTCGCAGGGGCGGGGCACATGCCTCTCGGCGGGAAGCCAGTGGAGGCACTGCCCGGGGGCCCGGCAAGCCCAGGACCCCCGACTCCATGACTTTTCTAGCGGCAGCTCTCTGCCCCTCCGCCCCATCCTCTCTTGTGTCCGTCAGTCTGACCACCTCGTGTGCCATGGACAAAGGCAGGCCTCTAGGCCATGGGGTGAGAGTCGGGGGGAGCGCAGAACCCCCAGGGGCGCTGCCCTGGAAATGGGGGGCGGGGCTCAGCAGTCGACCAGGGACACAGGACACAGGACACAGGACACAGGACACAGGAGTGAAGTGTGACCGTTGCAGGGTCTGGGGCAGGAGTAAGGCCCGGACTCCAGGCCCCATGGCTCCGCCGGAAGGAGGTGGTCCTCGGGATGGTCCTCGGGGCCCAAGGGGAGTGGCTCCCACCACCCTCACCACCCCTGCTCGAAGCCCCCGCAGCAGCCCACCTGCCTGCCTGGTGCCCAGCCCTGGGAGGCGGCATAGCTGGGGGGCGCCGAGCTCTCTCGCCCCCCACAAGCTCATCCTCAGCACGGCCCCCCAGATCCCCCCAGCCAGGTGGAGCTCCCCGTGGACTTGTTCAGGGCGGCAGCCTTTCCTGCCCTCCCTGGGAACACCGTGCAGAAAAGTTGCGCGGTTCTGAGTCTCGGTCTCCCGGCGTCTCCCAGGGGTCACGTTGACACAGCACAGAGCAAACCCGGGCAAGTAAGTGGTGGCGACTGCTGACTGCTGCCATTTCTCCCTCCTCCTGGCCCTGCCCTGAGCTGCAGGGTCCCCTGCAGTGAGTCTCAGACCCTGACCTGCGGCGAGTCTCAGACCCTGACCTCTAACCCTCCTTTTTATTTCTTTCCAACAGATTTTATTTGGAGGTTTTAAAAAATTTATTTATTTATTTATTTATTTGCTTTTTACTTTTTGGGTCACACCCGGCAATGCTCAGGGATTACTCCTGGCTCTGCACTCAGGAGTTACTCCTGGTGGTGCTCAGGGGATCATACTGGGAATCGAACCTGGGTCGGTTGCGTACAAGGCAAACTCCTTCCCCACTGGGCTATTGCTCCAGCCCCACCTCTAACCCTTTGACTTCTAACCTCCAACAGGGCTGGAGCAGGGCGGCAAGGGCTGGTTTCCCCCATGGGACTCCCGCCTCTCCCGGCAGGAAAAAGTCCCTCTGGTTCCCTGAGGAGGAGCCTGGAGGTGGGGTGGCCCGGAGGGCTGGACGGCCGGACTCCAGCAGGTTCCTGGTCATAGAAATCAGAAGGAGGTGCCCCCCAGCCCCCAAGTAACAGCAGCCCCTAGCACCAGGCCTCCCCCCTGTCACTTTCCTCTGCTTGAGTCACCCGGGCTGGGCCTTCTTCCCTCCCACTGACAGGGGTGTCACAGAACAGAGCTCAGAGTCTAGGCCCAAGGATCCTATATGTCTCTGGACCTGGATAGTTCTGGATCTCGGTAACAGGCTCAGGTCTCATGAGAGCAGCAGACACCAGCTCCTCGGCAGTGCTCCCCAGGCTGTACTCCCTGGGCAGTGCTCCCCAGGGAACCAAGCACACGGGCACACGGTACCTGAGAAAGGCTCCCGACATGCTCATTTCAGACCAAAGACCAGGATAAGGCAAATGCTCAATCATCATCGTATCTTGGCCAAGGAAGCTTTAGGAAATGGCCCTAATGGTTCCCTTGTGTGCCCACAGGACCGGGAGCCCAGGGGCTTGGCCAGACCATGCGGTGGATGCTGCTGAGAGGCTGGAGGAAAGCAGAGTGTGCGCGAAAGGTGGATAAGCCTCTGGGCCCAGCCCTGAGAGGGGAAAGGCCAGCTCCACCCCGCCAGCCCGGCTGCATCGGTCCTGCCTGCCATGCCACCCTCACTGGGAGACTGGTCCCTCCTGTGGCCCATCCTGCGGCCCATCCTGATGTGGCCGTGACACGGCAGGGTCAGGGCGTTTACGGGGCCCCTCTGTGCTCTCCCCACGCCCTTGGTTTCCCTGACCGGGACTCTCTCAGTGAACCCCCATCTCCTGCCCCACCCGTCCCGGTCTCTGCCTACATTTCCGAGGAAACATCCCGCTGAGTGCGTGGGGTGAACACAGTATGAATTCCCTGCTCTGCCTCCGCGCTGGGCCCCGCCGGGAAGGGAAGAGCGAGCCGGGCTGTGCGAGTAAATCCTGCTCCTACAGCTTTACGAGCGAGTACTGGGGCCTTCCAGACGACTGGGCCAAAATTCCTCAACAACTGACAGTGGATGTGTCAGACTCCATCTGTGCATGAGCCGATTCCCTGTTAGCTCAGAATCCCTCCCCCTCCACGCCCCCCCACATGCACGCACATACATGTATGGACACACACATGCATGCACACACATGGACAGGCACACACACACGGATACCTATGCATGTACACACGTACATAAATATGTAAAGGCACAATGAGCACCTATACATGCACACATGCACACACGTCCATGGGTATGCACACACACGCACAACTACCTATGTAGGCATGCACACACACAGACACACATGCACACACATGTACAGGCTCACACAAGCACCTACGCATGCACACATGTACATACACGCATGTGTATGGGCACAGGCACACGTGAGCACCTATGCACGCACACAAGTACACGTATGTGCAGGCACTTGCAGCACACGTGAGTCCCTACACACGCACATGTGCACGCACACACACATGCACACACATCTCCCCTTGGTGGTCTTCTACTGCGGGCTCTCAGGCCTTGGAGACAAGGGCGATGGGATGAGATCGTGCCCACCACGCGCCCCCGGCCTCTTACTTGAGCACGGCTTCTCCTGGTCCGGGAGCACCGAGGGTGCCACTGGGTGCAGGTTCGGCTCCGACTTGCTGGGAAGGAAGACCTCGGCGTTCTCCTTCCGCTTGGCGGACAGGATCCTCTCCTTGCGAGCACCTGTGGCGAGAGAGCTGCTCTTCAGAAGCCAAGCCCCGAGGGCCGGGCGGAGCCGGGACATTCTCTCCTCGGGCTCACGCTCTCATTCATGCAAATATCTGCCAACCCCTCGTCAGGCACCATCAGTTCGGGATTAGAGACGCGTGACATGCAGACAACAAAACGGGCTGGCCAAGCACCCGGCTCGGTCATTGAGTGAAACGCTCCAGGACACACAGATTTCCAAATTTCTGAACACAGGGGCAAATCTTTACAAACAATGGGGTGGGGGTTGTGACGTAAGTCAACAGGCCACAACAGGAGACACATCGGAGCTGAAGAGGCCTGTGCAATGCAGGGTCATCTTCGAAGTGCCCACAGCCCAGCCTGTGTTGGGGAGGGGGGGACAGGAAAGCAGGCAGGAGCAGGGAGGCCGGGCGCTGTGCCCCCCAGGGTCATGGAGGACACGGCCAGTGTGTGCGTGGGGCCCGAGCCAGGCAGTAAGACCCAGGGACGTGAAGTGTCCGAGCTGTGACAGCTGGGGGAGGAGGGGGCCACGCAGCAGGTGTGAGGCTGGGCGGGCACTCGGAGGGTGCCAGACAGAGAAGGGCCCAGGCCACGCTTCAGAGCCAAGAGCGTGTCTGCGCCACCATGGCACCGGAGGTGACTCCAGATGGCACCTGGGCTGGCGCTTCTTAAGCTATTATACACAGCCACGTGCACCGAGAGCACATCACTGGCTACTCAGGCTCTTGACTGTCACTGCTGGAGACACTCCCAGAATTGCAAAAGGAAAAAGGAGAAAGAGTGTGGGGAGGGAGGAGAGAGAGAGGGATGGAGGGGAGGAACAGAACAGACGGCAAGGAAGAAAGGGAAGGAGGAAGGGAGGAAGAAATTTATATATTTTTAAATTGGGGGGGGGGGCGTCACACCTGGCTCCAGAAGGAACTATTTTAAATAACATTTCAACCATGGTGCCAGTGGTTGGTGAAGAAACAGCAAGAAATGTGGAAGCTTGCACATGGGTCAAGTTCGGGGAAAGGTTCTAGGGCTCTTTAAGAGCTGGAGAAGCGGCAGCCAGGAACTCCAGGCGAGAAAGCAATCCTGGGACTGCAAGGAGGCAGCGTGAAGGGAAAAGGCCTCTGCAGGGAGAGGAGAGGGCCTCCGATCTGTGAAGATGGGAGCTCACGATCTGTGAAGATGGGGGCCCTTGAGTCTGTGTAGACGGGGACTCAAGGTCTCTAAAGACAGGGGGCCAAGGGATCTCAGCCTGGGAAGGCAGCGGCACTTCCAAGCATAGTGTGAGAATGCCTGCAGCCCGGGGAAGTTTCTCTGCCGTCCTGCGGCGGTTCCCCAGCTGCTGCCACTAACAGGGACCCGTGGGAGAGTGAGGGCTGCCTCCTGTCCAGTGAGCCTGGAGACACAAGTGACCAGCAGCGTGGCGCCCCGAGCACAAACACAGTGCCGCGTTCCCCAGCACTCTGGGGCAGACGAGACGCAGGATGGTGACCTTACACCCCAAATGAAACGATGTTGGCATCTGGATCTCAGGAAGCCGCGGGCTCTTTAGAAGGCAAAGGGACTAGGACTGGACGGCTCAGAGCTGCCCTGGGAGCCTGAGTGAGCCATGGAGCACCACGAGGCCCTCAGAGAAGAGCAGGGCAGTGTTCAATGTGGGGGGGGGGGGGGGGAGAGGGGGCACTCAGGAGACAGAGAGCGGGGCTCACTGTGGTGTACAGAGTGGGGTTCACTGAGGTAAAAGTGGGAGTTCACTGAGGTGTATGGGGAGTGAGGCTCACTGAGGTGAGAGGCTCACTGAGGTAAGAGTGGGGTTCACTGAGGTGAGAATGAAGCTCACTGAGATGAGAGTGGGGGGTTTACTGAGGTAAGAATAGGAGTTCACTGAGGTGTACAGAGAGGGGGTTTCACTAAGGTGGGGTTCACTGACGTGAAAGTGAGGCTCACTGAGGTGAGAGTGGGGAGTACCCTGAGGTAAGAGTAGGAGTTCACTGAGGTGTATTGAGAGTGGGGATTCACTGAGGTGAGAGGCTCACTAAAGTAGGAGTGGGGTTCACTGAGGTAAGAGAAGGGTACACTGAGGCAAGAGTGGGGTTCACTGAGGTGAGAGTGAGGCTCACTAAGGTGAGAGTGGGGGATTCACTGAGGTAAGAGTAGGGGTTCAGTGAGATATAGGGAGAGTGGAGATTCAGTGAGGTGAGAGGCTCACTGAGGTAAGAATAGGGCTCACTGAGGCAAGTGGGGTTCACTGAGGTGAGAGTAAGGCTCACTGAGGTGTGTAGAGTGTGGGGCTCACTGAAGTTAGAGTGAACTTCACTGAGTGGGGCTCAGTGATGTGAGAATGGGGTTCACTGAGGTGAGACTGGGGCTCACTGAAGAGAGAGCAAGGTTCAGTGTGTTGGTTGGAGTGTGGGGTTCACCGTGGTACATAATGGGGTTTACTGGCTCATGCTGACAACACACCGGCTGATCTGCCTCCCTGTGGTGCAGGGTCCCCAAAAGCTGAATTCCAGGCACCCCTGAGCATGCGGGCCCTGCAAGGCGCAGAGACCCCCCCCGTGCGGCTATCCATGGGACGGAGCTCACCCGTGGAAGCTGGGTTGAATTCCAGCATCACGAGGGAGTCGGGGCCCGGGGGAGGGCGTCTCTCTGTCTCGGGGTCTTCTGCCAACTCCTGCACCCGGTCCCCACTGAAGAGCGCGGGGACGTCCCCGGGCTGGTCCTCCGGCTCAGGCTCTGAGAACACGTCCTCCTCGATGGAGTCGTACTCGTCACTACTGGGACCGTCCTGTGGCTCCCGCTGCAGATCGACACTCAGCTCCAGGCTTTTCCTCAGTTCCTGCGGAGCACCAGAAGAGAGGCGGAAACATCACATACGGGACTTGGAGAAAATCCGGCTGACGGAGGTGGCACGGGTGGCCCCCGGCAGGGCGGCCAACCCCCCCCCCCCCACACACACACACACACTGTGAGGAGCAGCGTGAGAGACTGAGTCAGACCCACTTTGCTTCGCATTCCCGGCACGACATGAGACTCTCCAGCACCAGACGCGAGCGTGAGAACTCAGCCCCGTCCCAACACCCCCGCCCGGAGTGAGCCTGAGGAGGCAGCGCCCACAGGCTCTGCGCCAGTCCCACGGAACGCCTCCCACTCCCACTTCCGATGCCACCTGCAAGCTCAGGGTGTCGCCGGGCTCCTGGCCCAGGGGCTCTCAGTCAGGGTCCCGGGGCGCCTTCCTGGGCTCGGGCAGCCCCCGGTTCTCGGGGAAACTGCTTCCTCACTTGGTACACAAAGGACACCACAGGCCATGAGTCGAGAAACAGGGCCAGGTGCCAATGGGGAGTCTGGGGCTGGGCGCCAGGCACCCATTGACTCTGGTCAGACAGCCGTCCAGCAGTTGGGCTCTGAGGCGCCGCCCCGCTGCGTGCTGAGTCACTTGTCGCCAATGGCCCTCCCTGGCAGTCGGGGTGTGGAACTTAGAGCTCCAGCCCTCCCACCACAAAAATGGTCCCTCCTCACTGACCAGTCCCCCACGTTCCCTCACGCCACCTGAAGGTGCCTTGGCCCGGGTGTCCTGAGAATCTGCATTTGTTGGTTTGTCTTTGGGCTACACCTGGCAGTGCTCAGGGCTTACTCCTGGCCCTGTGCTCAGGGATCACCACTGGTGGGCTCAGGGGGCCCATATGTGATACCGGGGATCATACTTGGGTATCCCCTAGGTGGGTGGGTGCAAGGGCAGGCACCCTCCCCGCTGGGCTATCACTCTGGGCCTGGGAATCTGCATTTCTAACAGGGCGGTGCTGCTACTGCAGGGGATCAGGTCCAGCTAAGCACTTCCAGGCCCCACAGGATCCTGGGGGTCCTGGGACCCCAGAGAGAAGTCAGGGTGCTGAGCCCGTCTGTCATCGTCTGCTCATCCTTCCAAGGCAAGGGCCTGTCTCTGTGAGACTATAGAGTTCTATAGAGTTCGTCTTCTTTTTCTTTTTCTTTTTTTTTTTTTTGCTCTTTGGGTCACATCCGGCGATGTTCCTGGCTCTGCACTCAGGAATTGCTCCTGGTGGTGCTCAGGGGACCATATGGGATGCTGGGAATCGAACCCGGGTTGGCCACGTGCAAGGCAAACACCCTGCCCGCTGTGCTATTGCTTCAGCCTGAGACTGGAGTTCTTAGGGGCAAACTGAGGGTGAAACCAGACCCTTGGAAGGGAAGCGCAGCGTGACTACATTCTCAGGGGGCTGAGACGGTGTGAACTGGGGTTACTACCAAACCAGCCCTGTATGCCACAGAGTGTGTGAAAACGAGATGCATTCAGGAGCAGTTGACAATCAATGCAGAAAGCAAACAGTCACTGTGGCAACCTGAAGAAAGACACCCCACCCCACCCCACCCCACCCCACCTTCCGGCCCCAGATGTCCCAGTGACCTTGCTAGGAAGCAAAAAAAAAAAAAAAAACTGACCACAGAACCAGGGAGTGGTTGCCTGCGAAGGTGCTGGGAGGGAGGGTGGGCTGGAGACCAGGAGTGGGGACGTGGCTGTGTCCCGCGCTTTGGGGTGCCGTGAAACTCGGAAGTCTGATTCTACAGATTTCACTCGAGAGCTTTCCAAGAAAAGTGCTGAAGGCACAGGCTGGAATCTTCCTGCTTTACAGACAGACGGGGGGAAGGACCCCGGCGAATTCACAGTCTACCCAGGAGGCCCCAAATGAGGGGACTGTCAGACAAAGGAGCTTCGGTGGGGAACCCAGGGCACGGCGCAAGGCTCTTTGCTAGACCTTCAGAGGGATCGCAGCCCACCGAGAGTTCTACTGTGCTCAGGGTCCCTTTGAAAAGCTCCGACACGTGACTCACGGAGCCCCTCAAACACCCCAGCAGGGGCACCGAGGAGGGCTGAAGGGGATGCTCTAAAAATGGGGGCCCCAGTTTGCTTCCGGGAATCACATGATTGCCCAGAGCACTGTGCCAGGAGTAGCTCCCCTCACCCCCCTCCGACTCCATTTTAGCAGAACCTAGAAGTAGAGGTAAGATTTTTCAGGAAAAGGGTGCTGGAGTGATAATACGGTGGGTAGGGCATTTGCCTTGCGTGAGGGGGACCCTGAGTTCGATCCCTGGCATCGAACTAAGTTCCCTGAGCTTGGTAGGAGTAGTTCCTGAGTGCAGAGCCAGGAGTAACTCCTGCGCATCGCCGGGTGTGCCCTCCTCCCCCCAAATATTGTTCAGGAAAGACTGTGGAAGAGCGTCTTGGTTAGGGGAGTGGATGCAGGAGACACATAGGAAACACACTCATGTACATAGGAGACACACGCATGTACATAGGAGACAACTCATGTACATAGGAACACACGTGATTTCTCAGAATGGCAGAGCAAGAGAAACACCGCCAGCGTGACTGGAAGGGAGAGGCAGGATGACAACAAAGGCCCCCAGACTCCCCACGTTCTAGTCGAAGAAGAGGCTGCTAGAGCTGCAAGAGGGGGCACCCGGGGGAGCCTGGGCCCAGGGCGGAGCTGGAGCCACAGAGAATCGTCTAAAGTGGAGTCAGATCTGCCGGCAGAGTCTGGGCACCTCCGGACAGTGGCTCCACTTTCCCTCTCATGCCAGACCCGACCCACCCCCACCCCGAAAGGGAACTGCCCGCCACTGCCATCCTGCACCTGCCCACCAAGCACCTGGGAGGAGAGATAACTTGCCTTCCGAGTTTCACAGAGCTATGGGATGTCAGGGACTGAACCCAGGTCTGAACACGACGCAGAGTTGGGCGCCAAGATGCCTGATACCTAGAATCTCACCCTGATTTAGATGGCAGCCTCTCTTATTAGATCCTCTGCTAACCCCGCGAGACGGCTCTGTCCTGGCCCAGACCCCCGCGCCTACCCGGGCCGGCCCCAGCCCTTCCCTTCTGCAGAGGTGGACGAGGCATGGGGGATGGGGGGAAGTAGGTGGGTTCCTCTCTCTGCCCCCCCGCCCCGTATTCCGCTTATTTATTTTGGTTTTGTGGCCACACCGGCAATGCTCAGGGCTCATTCCTGGCAGGGCTCAGGGGACCATATGGGATGTCAGGGACTGAACCCAGGTCTGCTGCATGCCAGGCAAGTGCCCTCCCCGTTGTATTATCGCTCCGGCCCCCATCCTCTCCTGCCGCCCCTTCCCCCCTGCAGCCTAAGGTGACCAATGGGCGCCAGCCAGTGGGGACACCGTTGTCACCACTGTCCTAGGCCCAGCACTGCCCCCGTCAACCTCCAACAATGCCAGTTGCGGGAGGGGCACTAGGACCCTGGGGCCCGTGGTCTGAGGAGCAAGTCCATCATCCTTCCTATTAGTGTCACATTTGGAGGGGCTGAAATTTCAGAGCCTTTGAGCTGGTCCGACAAAGTGGCAGCCCTGGGCCCGGGCCACTGACCCTGCTCCCTCTGGCGCAGAGGCGGCTCTGCGTGACCGAGTCTATTTCTCCGTGCCTGCGGGCACGCTCGGGGCAGACACTGAGGCCCGGGTGCGGGAGGGCAGCAGGCTGCCCAGGCCCAGATGGTCAGTGCAGAGAGAAAAGGAGAACGTGGCTGCAAAGGAAAGGGCCTGGCAGGGACGGCTGGGCTGAGCAGGGCCCACGGGCAGGGGGGCAGGGGAGGGGAGGCCCGGGCAGGGGCGGGCACTGCCAGGTGGCCTTGAAAAGACGCCGCTGGCTCTCGGATGCCAAGAGGGTTTGGAGCTGCTGGGTCGGGCGGGCAGCGTGGGGGGCAGCAGAGGGGAGAGACCCCGAGGGAAGCCGGAATCGGCCAACTAGAAAGGAACACGACACCCCAGCCCAGGGGTGTCCTCAGCCTGTAGGACACAGATGGCCCGCGGCGCTGCTGGCCAGGGAGGAAGAACGGTCCTGCGTCCATCCTCAGAGCAAGACCCGGGCCACTCACAGGACGCCTGGGAAAATAAGAATTGCCAGCGACGTTTTCCTTGACTTTTTATTATAAGCGTGTTTCCGATTTTGTGACTGTGAAGCAATGATAGATTCACAGCTGTGTTTAAATCCTGTCTCACTGTCACAAAAAAAAAAAAAATCACCCCCGACAGGGGCAGAGGCGTGGGACAGTGAGGAGGAACATCACCCCCTGAAGGCTGTGGCCCCCCTACCCGCCGCAGGGCACCCTGAGGAGTCTAGGCAGTGAGGACAGTGCTGGCAACTGTCTAACTAACGCCGCCTCTGTGCAGAGGCCGGAAGTGAAAGCAACAGGCCACCAGCTCAACTGAGAGGCGCTTGGGAACCCGCCCCCAGAAGCCCCCTGGAAAAACTCCTAAAATACAAGATAACAGAGCTAAGACGGGGAAGCAGGGGTGGGGGTGGGGTGGAGGGGGCTAAGGGTCAATGTGGAGACCGCTGAGAGCGGGGGATGCATTTAGACATCTGTGAGTGTCCAGCTGTGGATCAGATGGTGACCCAGCCCGCAGCTGAGGGAGGGGGTTATGGTGCAGGGGGTGGGGGGGGGGGCGCTGCTGCCCAGGCTGAGAGCCAAAGGGCAGCCCTGCCAGCTTCCTGGTTTTGCCTCTTGGATTCAGGTGTCGGGAGCGTTTCAAGACTGAATCTCATCAAAGCCGTTTGAGCTTCAGGAAGCCCGCCCCTTTGGAAGGGTTTCTTGTTATTCTGTGAAATATCACCTGTGACTCTGCAGCAAGGCCAGCGCTCACAGCATCCTCTTCATCCCAGCGGGAAAGAGCGAGTTGCTTCACGCAGCTCGCCCGCCCGACTGGCTTAGGGGTCCTCTCTCCGTGAGCGCTGTGTAGTCCCCGTTAGAGCCCAGGGCTGGCGGCTTAGAGACCCGCGTGGAGACCCCGTGGCTGGAAGCAGGCGGGAGC